CAATTATTGTATTTTTGTTGAAGCCTTCCCCTGATTATAGTTAGATTGTTGTATCTGAATAATACAGGCAGTGTCCAAGAAATTATCTTGTGTGCTCAATAAAAAATTGACATCAAGACCTCAGCAATACTGTTATTGCTGAACAATATTGGTCATTCTAAACCCATGAAACAAAATTGTTGGAACCTTTTGAAGCTAATTCCTTGCTTGAAGTAATAAAATGCCCAAGTTCAATGAAACTGATGTCAAGCAGGCCTCAGTAGAAGAGGCACTTGTCAAACCCACAATTGAATACTTGTCAAATGCACTTATTGTCAAACCACATGTATAAGAAAATATGCCTGAAATCTAAGACCCATGGAACATCCCATCATATCATTTCACAAATATGTGGAGAAATAATTTTTTCTCACATGGAGTCACCTGCTACACCACTTCCTGCATAAGGGATTTATTCCCGATTCTTGAAGTCACTCATGCGCAACCACAGGAGAGAGAGTGTTGGGTGCATGGGGTGAGGGGATGGGGGACGCAGTGGCAAAGAGTTTGGACAACCAAGAGTTCTGCTCTGGCAAGATGGGGCCTCACCTGATAAAGCAGAGCAAGGGTCCCATCTCTCTGAGCAAAACCGCGGATGTGTTTCAGTTGGCTTCATCAAACTCTTGAATTCTTAGATAAAAAATAATGAAACAATATATCCAATATATCATGATGAGCTTGCAGGTACAGAAAATGAACAAGCCAAGTGACATCCTAACGCAAATTCAGAATAATAAATTTAAAATCCATTCTGCAGGAAAAACTTGATTAGAAGTAAATTTCTTGGATAGAGGGCAGGAGCAGCATGAATGGCCGCGCGCAGTGGAACGATAGTGAAGTTTCCCGTGACATGGCTGAAGACCACAAGCACTGATCATTGTTTCAAAATTTAAAATTAAAATATTTTCTCTGACCATAGTGACCAATTATGGAACTGCTATACCATCAACAGAAGGGATGTAGAACTTCGTGACCCAGCGTAATGGTACAATTTCGACTCAGACCGGCTGCCTGCCACACCAGCCAATGCGCGTTACCTGGTTTGGCTTCTTCGCGGATAAGCGACTGGCAGGTCACCTAGCTCAAGACGAATGGCTTCCCGTGTGCGCAGCGAAGTAGGAACAAAGGGTATCCCTGGTAATTCCTTGCATACCAGTATGTCATAAGCGGTGGACCACTCCGTTAGCGCATGGTTTGGGGGTGAATAGAGCCAAGCCCTTGAAACAGTTTCGGGCAACCTACGGGAGTGAGGTGTGAATGCCGGATGCAATTTTAAAATTGGATGCTTAACGTGTTTGAAAATACGTCAGGGTTTTTGCAATTCCTCGTAGTTGATGAGTTACACAGTATGGAATACACCTTTCATTATTTAATCTGGTGAATCCCTTGGAACGCGAAGTCAGATTTACGTCCGTTGTCCAGGGTAGATCGTGTGCTATGTCGGAATAAATATATAGTAGTGTGAACTCCATGAGACGATGCGGCGAGCAGCCGCTAGAGGTAATATTGAGAAAGTACGAACTCTCTTGAACTCGAAACCTGATACTATCAATGAAACGGATGATTTCGGAAATACGCCGTTGCTTGCTGCTCTTGAAAGGCAGCACACGGATTGCGCCGTGGCCCTCATTCAAGCAAAAGCTGACCTCAAACCGGTGAATAAGGTTTGTTGCATCATATTTTATTTGAATCTTGCAAATATCTTGTACCTAGTGAAATTTAGTTCTTGTCTGAATGATCGAAAGCACGTTTCCATTAGTCATTTTTTGCATTGCAAGATTCTCCCGTCTACAGATGAGCTTTGAAAAACTTGATTACACTTGGTGATGCTCTGCATCGATTTGTGCAATTGCACAATTCTAGCGGACTCGCCTTTGGTTTCGTAGTAAATCGTATGACGTGTATCTTTTCAGCGAACAATGATTGGAAAAGCTGTCATCTGCATGCACATGTTATCTCACTTGCTTGATGTGCAGAAGTGGTTATTATGTTGGAGAGCTTCAGTTGACCCTTGGGTCAAAGTGTGTGCATGGCGTGAGTTTTGGTTTCCTCTGATATGATGATGATTTGTTTTCTATTTTTTGTGGGCCCCTGGATGCAACGGTAACGCCCCGCTGTAAACTTTTTGTCACAAAAACTGAGGCAAGCATCTCTTGGAGAGCATTGGTCCAAAGAAATTTACACCAACTAATGTTCTGAACGTTTTTCAGAAAATGAAAAATATTTTTGAATGACCATATGGATGAATGTTCCTCTCTGAGAACAACATCATTTCTCTGAAAAAACATGCATGAATTTTTAAATAAGTTCCTGTTAGTTGTACGTGTATTATGAAATTTATTTTTGACGCCTGAGTTGGATAAAAGTTTGCCCATTTTGAAAGAATTTGAATCATGAGATGTTTTAATAATTTAGAATGGAGATTCAGCTTTGCACATCGCCTCGCGTGATGGTCTCACAGAAGCAGTCCGCGAGATTTGCGAAAATGGCTTTACGGAGATCAATGCCTTGAATGTTGAGGGCCTGTCCCCACTTCACCTGGCCGCAAGAAATGGTCACATAGATGTTGTTCGGTGAGTTTTTCTTCAAATGCTTTCTTTAAGGAAAACTCCTCCGGTTTCATTTTTCCAATGTTGCCTCAATTTCTGCTAGCCTATTATGCTTGCATGGATGCGATATCAAGCAACGAAGTGCTGAAGGAATTACAGCTGAAGTTGCTGCATATGCACAGGGGTATGGGTACATTGGAGAGCTGCTCGGGAAACTACACAATGTGAGTTAATCTGGTCCTTCACATGGTATTGAGTGTAAAAAAGAATTGACTGAAAAAATCAAAATTTTATGGTTTCAGAAACACCAATTGGACGTGTTCATTGGCGACTTACGAGAAGATTTCCAAAACCCGTCTCCGGTGCTGAAAATGAAGCTTCTTGGGTCGAGCGGAGTAGGAAAATCCACGCTGGTTGAAACTCTGAAAACTGGCTATATTGCATCCTGGTTCAGAAGGAGTAAATCGGCGGGTTCTGCATTCGGTTTGGGTTTGAATCATTCTTTCAAAAAAGGTGTGTACCTCGTGTTGCATTTTTCTTAAGTGAACCTGAGAAGTTCACCTGATAAATTGGCGCATGGGCCAATCAATCGATCTTTGAAATAAACCCCAGTATATGAAATAGTTCTCCAAAATGAAAATAAATTATTTTCTTGTCTATTGTGTCATGTAAGTTTTTCTGTGCGTACGTAGGGATTTACATCCATACCAGATTAATTTAGGTTATTCGCCTTCATATTTCAATAAAAGTATTTCAATACTGTGCGTTAGAATAAATTCTGGTTCTGTCGCTGTTTAATTACTATTCTGTGAGATTTGATATTTGTTTGGTCTTCACTCAATTTGTTAGCCTGGAAACACGATGAGCAGACGTCGGGAACATGGGTTTCTGTGGATTCTGAGGGTACAATGAGTCCAAAAAATGGCAAGAAGGAAAAATGGTGGCATGGGAACGGAAAACATGGTGGTAGACAGCGATGTAATACTGCTGATTCAAATACAACAAACACGACTGGGGATTCAAGCAAAACATTCTCATCAGTCTGCATGTTGGAGAAAACATCTAGTGTGTCCCTGTCATTTGACTATTTCCACGATTACTACACCCGTGGAGTTTCTATGGAGAATGTGAGTATTGAATTTTCTTTCTTCACATTTTCAAATTTTGCTCACCGATGAAAAATTTCTTGGTGTTCATCAGGTGAAACTCTCAGGAGGAGGCGAATGGAGTGTCTGGGATTTTTCTGGACAAGAGTGCTACTTTGTATCGTACGATCTCTTTCTGGGTAGCTCACAGTGCGTTCATCTTGTGTTGTTTGATGCATCTCAAAGCCTCTCTGTGGCGTACCATCAAACAAATTTTTGGTTGTCGTTTTTGCGCGCTCGACTTCCGATTCGGCGACCGTGGGGTCATGGGGGGCGTTCTGTGCGAGCTGCTTCAGTGATTTTAGTTGGAACACACACTGATCTCATTGGGAACACCTCTGCGTCTTTCCGAAGTCATCACCAGACCAGATCGCAGTGTCATCTCAGCCAGGAGTGTTCGGAGGTAACTTTTAAAATCTGCGTTTTCTTCATTTTGTCGAGTTTCATTGAACGCCAGAACCTTTGTTGAGACAAAAATGTGGCAGGCGGTTGACAGCATGTTGCATGAGTTTTGTTTCTTAAGATAAGAAATTTAGGTTTCTGCTGGTTGGGCTAGTGTGTGATTTATGTGACATCTTTCTTCAATTTCTAGAATTAAAGGATGGGAAGTGGGGTTGCTAGATGCGGACATAATTTGTGCTTGAATTTTGTCCTTATGTTGGAACATCCGTATGTTTGATCACGTTTTCCCAAACACTTCAACGGAACCATATTGAATGTTTATTCTGTTGATCAATAATCAGGAATAAGTCCCCCAAAAAATTAAATACATTTCTTTTCTCAATAACATGAAACAGAAAATAGCTGCAGAAGAAAACTACACAGAATCTGATCTTTTGACATCAAAAGGAGCTCAAGAAGCAAGGAGCAATACTGTGCACAGTTGATGGAAAAACTGAAAATATCCTGTTCTTAAATCCGAGTCAATTCGTAATGAAATTCTTTTTTTTGTGTGAATAGAAATAGCTCACATTTGTTCAAGAGGTATCGAAACAAAATAAGAAGGTTTCTAATATTTCCATGTTTTTAGAAACGTTGATAAAGTGTCCGTATCTCAAGACATTGTCCTAATGTTGGGGCAGATTTCACGAGTTTTTAATCTTCAAGTCGTGTCTTCCTGATTTTGGGGCGTCTATATGTCGGGTCCCACTGTTGTATGTTCAAGGATGAAGATTAGTCTTTCCCATGTTTCTGTAAATAAAGTATTGACAGTAATGCTTCCCGTTTCTTGCTTTTTGTTCGTAATTTAATTTCGAAACTATGTACTTGTTCATGGCACTGATCTTTCCCCTCTTTAATGGTTGTCAACAAAGGTTTTTTCAATTACAGGGCGTGGAGAGTATGCGAGAAAAATTGGAAAAGAACCACGGCCAAGCGTTGGACATATTCCCAAAGGTGTTCCTTTTGGACTGCCATGCAGCCTCGTCACAGGGTGTGAAAGAGCTCAAGGCTACCCTGGCTCTCTTGGGAAATCAGTTGTGTGAAGTGAGTCTGACCAAGATGTAATTACAAAAAAATTTGCGATGCTGTTGATTTTTGAAAGAGGAAAATTGGGTTTCCAATACTTCGATGAGAATTCACGCACGGATGTGGAAACTTATTTTTTCTAGGAAGTGAAGACGGTGAACGGATTCCTGATGTCCACGCTGGAAGTTTTGAAAGAGGTCGATTCTGAGCTGGACTGCGAATCCAGCTCCATTCTGTCGAGGAGATTGAGTTACACGAGTGCAACTGGCCGCCATTCATCTAGACGAGGGTCATCGGCGTCTCTTGGTGGGTTTCCAGTGCTCCCATGGACTGCGTTTTTAGAATTCATTCGATCCAAAGTGAACCCTTTGTCTCTGGAAAGTCACGTGGAAAAATTGGTGCGGCAGTTGCAGGTGAGTCATTGCCTGATTTCGTGTTCGCGAGATCGTTGAAAACGATTATTCTTGAAACGATATTTAAACGAAGGAAGTGTTGAAAAAGTTTGAGTTTCGACGTGTTTGTCAAAGTGTTTTTAAAGGATGATGATGCATTTATTTATTTATTTATTTTATTTCATTTTTTCGAGGCAGGCAACGAAAATCTGAGACTTCTTTCGAACGAATTTTACCACCCCATAAATTATTGAGTAAAAATTATCTTCATATTCAGCTAAATTCAGAACGCAAGACGGGAAAGATTAAAATTGCATTTAATGTACAGTACTTTCAACTGCAGTATCATCTCGTCACTAGAATTAATGACAACAATGAATTTTTCTTTGTCCCTGTCAAATACCCTCAATGTTGCTTCAACAAATTTTCGCTTATAACCAAGCTTTTTTCAAGGTCCGAAACGCTTCGTTGTGATGAAATAAAAATTTTTTTTTTCAAGAGTTTCATGAAGTTCTGTTTTTACTTTGTGATAACCTAACCTATGTTTCCGTCCTTTCTGTTTCAGCTTATGGGTCGACTTGTTGTGTTGGATTCTCCGCGTTCTCGTGCAGTCGGTTGGCCGCAGGAAGCTGATGTTTGCTGGGAAGAAATGGGTGAGGCTGAAGAAGACTCTTCGTTGGTCGTGCTCAGTCCTCAGTGGCTTGGAGGTGAAGTCATTGGGCGGCTGCTTTCTCTCGAGTTCCGAGGCATTGCGAGGCCTAGTGGCGTTTACTCACTTGATGATTTCACGGTAATTTGTCCCTTGCTGTTGACGATATTGAATATTTTTTTTCTCGTTGGGAGAAACCCTGTCTGTATTGAGAGCTCCTGTACAGTACTTCCGTGAATGCCTGTAAGCCTGAACTATTTTTTATGCTTTCGATGAAAGGAAGGTTGAATTACGTGTGGTGTAGGGCTGTTTGTGATCATTAAAAGTATTAATTCGAGGAGACGTAGGAAAACTTTCTTCCTGTGTTTTTTTTTTTTCAAGTTCGGTAGAATCTTGTTATAAAAAATTAATGCTTACGAAGAATTTTTTTTACGGTCCCTGTCCTTAATGCCATTTTAATTTCGTTTCAACGAATTTTTGTTTATGACTAAGCTTTTATAAGGTTCCAAACGCTTCATTGTAGCGAAGTTCGGCTGTAGTAATCGTCGTCTTGCTGTTTCGCGTAAAAGAGAAACGTAACTTAGAATAAAAGGTATTGAGCCTTGATATGGACTTGATTTCTGGAATGCTTCGATTTTTCGAAAATATTTTCAAGAAAAATGAGCGTTTTTTTTTACACCTGCAGTGGAGTGTTGAGCATTTTATCGTATGTCTTGTATTTGCCATCTGCAAAACCTTGATTTATGTTTCAAGAGGCCGGAAGATTGAGATGCGTCTCGCAGTCGATATCATCTCGTATTTCGAGTACAGTAGAATCTCGCTACAACGAATTTTGTCGTTGACAGTAATGTTTTACGACAAACTTGTCAGTTAGGTCTTTCTTCAATCGCCACATTGTTGATTCAGTTTCTTCGTAATTAAAGTTCTGTTATTATAAAGCTATTTTGCTGGTCCCGGTGGCGTCGTTGTAACGAAATTTTACTGTATTTTACTTCAGTTCATTGACCGAAGCAGTTTAGCTGGACTTTGCCTGTGCTTTTAGTCTTATTTGTGTTCATGCGATGGGAAGATTATACAGTGTTTCTCTGACTGGTTTTCAGGCAAGTTTCACGTGTTCTGCATCTCAAAGAGATATGATACCTTTGTTGGAGGCTCTGCAGCTTTGCAACCAAGTTTTGGTATTGCCTGAAAGATCTCCGACGATTCATCGTACCCGGAGCACCGCCGTCGACCTGGAGGGCATTCCGGAAAAACTAGCTCAGAATCAACCGGAAGAAGACGTTGGTGACGAATTTGATCGCTTTTTCTCGCAGTCAAATGCGTGTCGAACAAATGCGCTGCCGTGTTTGATGCGGAGCGTGAGTGGAGAGGATACTGGCAGGTGAGTGTCTTCGTCATTCAGTGTGTATTTTACAGTACAGTACAGTCAACCTTCAATCTAGTGCCAAAAATTTCCTGGAATTTCCTTCCCTCTTCGTGGTTTTATGGGTAACCCCGTTTTTGTGCCAACTCACTTAGTGATACGAAAAACGCCTTGTCCTTGATGAAAAATGAGCCAAAATCGAAGGAATGAAGGTCTGTTACTAGGGATATCATTACGGAGAATTACATGCCTGTGCCCTGTAGGAAACTCGGGATAATTTCAAATATAGTATTCTATTTTTGAATTTACGTTGTTGAGGAAGCATTTTTCTTTCTGCATGACACCTTCATTTTTGGAAATTTTATGAAAGAAGTGGAGCTTTTCTGAATGTACAGCATTAGTGATTCCTGCATGATGTGGTACCAGATGAAGAACTCAAATCCGAACCAAACTTCGAGAAAATTTACTAAACACGATTTGTGGAAATTCAAATTCCTTCTGTCTGATTAAAAATATTCGAATCTCTTCAAGTGGATATTAAAGGGACCAGAAAAAAATTAAGTTGGGATGTTTCGAGTTTGGAAAGAAGAGCATTTTTGTTGAGGATAAGAAAGAATACAAGGCCGAGAATACGGCCAATTTGAATTGCATTTTAGATGCTGACTTTGAATGCAAGGGTTAATTTGCCCTGTTACTCTATCACTTTCTTTCGAAAAACATCATGATGAATTTTCATTCCTTTCTCTTTTCTATGTCAATAAAATCAAAGCCAGAAGACCTCCGGAAAATTAGAGTTCAGAAGGTTTGAATGGGAAACACTGGAGGTGGTGAGGTTTTTATTGCATTGATTGAGTAAATTCAAACAGGGAGTTTTTTAAAAATTAACGCTTGAGGTTTTCGACTCCATGAGGTTTCAGTCATCGATGTTCGACTACTAAAATACCGTACTGCCTAAAAACAGGGAATTTCAGCTTCACATTATTTCTTCTAGCTCTCTCGACTATAAATAAAACTCTGTAGCTGAACAATTCTGCAAATAAGCTTTTTGTGCCTACAGTAGAAACCCTCGACTGAACCTTTCTCTCAAATAAAATCGTGATCAAGTGCCACCTTGGCTCAGTGCGTGCCCGGACACTACATCAGAGTTTTGACTAATTTTGAATGAATTGAATTTTTTTTTGTTCAAGTGACGGAGCAGATGTGGCAGAGCCGGAAGTTGAGGTTGAATTTCCTTCATTCAATCTGTTGGACCGAGAGGATTGTTTGTGTGTTGAGGATTTATGGCGGGACGAGGCGATGGTTTCTCCGCATTTTGTGGTATGTGGAATGCGTCTGCGTCCACCGGCTCCTTCCCTTAATCCCTTTTTTCTGCACATCTTCGCCAAAGTGCAGGTGAGCCGTGTTCGGATTAATGTTCATACTGTATGATATACGAGGGATGGTTCATAAGTTGTGAAAAACAGTTTCAACAATTCCAAATTTTGCTTTTACTCGCATAGCCCCATCATTTGGCAACACATTAGTGGTGTTCAACATGGTTTCCGCCGATTTCAGTGCAATTTTTCATGCAAGAAATTCAAAGATCAAAACTAGTGCCAAAAATTGACAATTATGTCAATTGATCAAGTGGCTCTTTGACGACAGAAACGAGCCTGTCACTGTCCTCAAAATCAATCCCTCTCAGATAATTTTTTCACGTTTTGAAGAGCCAGAAGTCACATAATTGTTTTTTTTTCTTTTTGTCGTATTTTTTTCTCAAAGAAGAAATCATTCAAACAAATGCATTGCACCCTGTCACCCTCAATTTATTGTCATAAATTTCCATGGAACAAATCTCCAACTGTTGTGTTTTCAAGAAAAACCCGTTTCAGTGCCAACTCACGTGGTGCCTTAAAAAAATGCCTTGTCCTGGATGAAGAATGGGCCAAAATCAGAGGAATTAAGGCCTTTTTCCATTGGGACATCATGGAGTTTATTGCTGCGAATCACATGCCCGTATTCACATATAAACTTTGGATAGCTTCAGTTATTCTGCCGTTAGTGCCGTCAAAATCAATCCCTTTCAGATCATTCTTCACCGCCGGGAACTGCAAGAAGTCACATAATTTTTTTTTTGAATTTATTTTCGAAACATTTTTGTCGTTGAAATATTTTTTTAACAAAAAATCGTTAAAATGCATTGGACCATGTGACTTCCGGCGGTTCCCGACGCAGGAGAATGAACTGAAAGGGACTGATTTTGAGGAGGGTGACAACCCCTTATTTCTGTTGTCGAAGAGCAGCTTTATCAGCTAAGGCAATTATCAATTTTTTGGCTCTGTTTTGATCGATCATTGGATTTAATGAAAGAAAAAATGCACTGAAATCGGCGGAGACTTCGTTTAACAGCCACTGAAGTGTTGCAAAATGATTGGGGCTTTGCGAGTAAAAAAAAAAAAAAAAGGTTATAATTGTTGAAACTCCGTTGGTTTTTTTTTTTTCAAAATTTGCAAAACTTTCGAACCTAGGCTCGTACATTCATAACCGTTCACGACGATTTTGTTGTGCAAAGGTTGCTTTGCGTTGGCATTTCGAAGAAGAACGGGAATGGGAGCGTTTGGAAGACGCCATGGATAACGTTGCCCTGATGCGAATGCGAACCATATCCTCCAACGGCGACGTGCGGCATTGTTGGCTCGAGACTGCTTCGGATATCGACGCTGGTGAAGTGTTACCTATTGAAAGTGACGAGAGTGTGACGATGGTCGAAGGTTTTCCTCTGCGACTGCGACAATGGTCTCTGGGCTCACGACTGGATAAGAAGTTCAACTCGTGCTTCGTGTGCTTGAGACAGGACGGGGTCGGGGATTACTTGGATATTTACACTCGGGGACCGAGGGATGATCCGTGGGATGTGTTTGTGACACAGCATAGGGTGTACGCCTTGGTTTTGAGGGTGAGATTCTTGAGAAAAGATCTTTAGATTTTCGAAGTTGCGCAATCGGAAACTAGGACCATTATGAAATCCTGATGTCATGCCAGGAACGAGGAATGTTCGGTGCTCTGAAAGAAATTCCTGGACTGTTTCTCATTGTCAAATCGCATGGTAATTCATTTATCACGACTTCAAGAGACGACGGGAAGGCAAAAATTGTTCTCTGGATATCAGGATTTCTTTCGTTTTATCATTCGGTATCGCTGATAGTCTCAAGAATGCCGCTGAATTCTTTCTGTTTCTGAAACGTTCCAATCTCAAATCCCAATTTCGAAGTGGCAAAAATGGGAAATCATTTTTCTCGTTTTATTTGCTGGGTGCTTTATTCTCGTCCCATTGCATACTTATTCTGTTGACTTTCACGCAACTCAACTTTTGGCAAATATTTAGGCATCCTGTGAGAATTACTACCGTATTTACTCACGTACCACGTGCACCTCTTTTCTCGAAATTTCCATGAAAAAAGAGGGTGCGGGTCATTGTGGGGTACACATTTTTCAAGAAGTTTTTGAGGTTCAGTCGTGCTTAATACTCGATTCGAATGGGGTTTTTGGGTGGAATTTTAACAGAAAAATTAGTTCATTGGAAGAAGTTGAAAATGGGTTGAATCCAAGTTCAATTCATGTTTAAATTCGACCTTGTGTGTTTTTATTTTTGAACTGAAGCAGTTTCTGAGGCACTGAAGATGCGGTCTTACTCGGGGATACGATTTTATAAACATTTTTGGCTGATGAATCCCAGTGCTTGTATTGATCAAGGGTGTGTGGTTCTCAAGCACCACACACCCTAGGGAAGACTCGAACCCTGATTTTTCCGCCTAAAATTTTGATGGAATCCTATCCCCAAGTAAGACGCGCACGCCATTTTCAGTGTCCCTGAAACTGCAATATTTTAGAAATAAGACCCACCAGAATTTGAATTTGGGCATCAATAAAACATTTATACAATTTATTTTCAATTTTTACCATAAAATATCTGTTATACTGTAGTTGATCTAAAATGTCGCATTAGAATTGAATGTAATACTTTTGAACCAGTAGAACTTTTTAAAAATTGTGTACCCGCCTATGATACGTACCCCTCCGCCGTCTCAAGTTTGATGGGAAAAATATGCGAGTTTTATTTCGAGTAAATTAATAATTTAAAATCGAGGTCCAGAATTCGGCGGTTAATCCATTTCGAAAAGAGCGAGATGAGTGGATTTTTCAACCGTTTTTTTTTTAAATGATTTATTTTCTCTCGTAGATCCTGTACGTGATCTGCCCAGGGGTGTGTATGGAGACTCATCTTCTGTCGATGGACCAGCAAACCGTGAATGCCCTGCCACCCGTCTTTGCTCCTGAACCGCATCCCCCGCTGCAAGTGGCCCGATGTCTGCTGGACGTTCGTAACGGCAGTGAATCAAACGACGCATCGAAACCCACGACGGCTACAACGACGACGACGGGATTGGACGTCAAGGCCCTGTTGTGTTTCGGGAGTCAGCGGGTGTTCGACCAAGTCGAGTGGTTACCGGATTTGCCGGTTTCGTCACTGCCCGACCCGTTGGTGTTGCAGGTTGCCGGGTTGCTGGATCCCCCGGATCCTGCTGGACGGGACTGGGCTTTGCTTGCGCTGCAAATGAACTTGGGAGACAAGCAGATTACGGCTGAAAGCGCGAGGTGATGAGGGATCCAACTTCTAAACCCGACTCTGTTTTGCTTTTTCTTGGAAAAACCAGAAAATGTTCGACAAAATTACAGATGAATATTTTTCAAGTCGAGATACGAAGGATCCGCAAAAAATGTTCGGTGAAAGAATTCCAGGAAATTTCAATTGGTGATTAATTAGGGCTTAACTTGCATTGAATGAGTTCACAGGATGCTGAAGTTGGAGGCAAAGGGTTCATTTGCTCAATTAGTCCTTCACTTCCTTTCAAACACATTGTTACATTTCTACATTTCTATTGTTTTCCTCTTTCCTGTGTCAGTAACATTTTAGCCAAAAGGCCTCTGCAAAATTTGAGTTGTGGAGGTTTGAGAAGGAAAGCCTTAAAGTTGGTGAAATTTGTTATGCCGTTGTTAGAAATCGAATGTTTTGATTGGGTTTTAAGCTTCAAAAATAACAGAGAGAGATGAGGATGAACAACTACTCAACTGAAATGCAAACTTTCTGCATCAGGGCTACGGCCTGGGCGTTTGACGTTGTCGTGATTCATGCAAGTTGGAGAAAATTGAGACGATTTGTGAAAGCACTTGTATTAGGCGTAATCGATTCAGGAAAACCATAATGTTCAATTAATGAATTGTAAGAGTTTTTGGAAAAGTATGAACGTCCAGGGGATATCCTCGTGTTGAAAGAGATTTAGTGAGTTCGCCGATGATGGGACTTTTGAAGAAATCTGAGAAATTCAAATGATCACAAACCCGTATACAGTATTTCCGTTTCTTGCAAAAGGGATGCGGCCGCGCAAGATTTGTGGGAAAAATTCCAGCACGCAGCGAACCCAGCTGGTCGACGGAAAAGCATCAACCTATTCTGCTTGAATGCCTGTGGACGCACAGAGTCCGTGACATCGAATTGCGAGCCGGGATGCGTTTGTTGTTCAACGCCGCACGCATCCGGGAAAAGATCGGCTCATTGCGACCGGAGCCACGCGACGGAAGATTCGAGCAACACTGCGACGCTTTTGCAGTTGTGGCAATGTGCTGCTCCACTTGATGCGACAATCGGTGAGATGCGTCAATTTTGCGCGTGTACATACAGTCGAACCTCTCCGAGTTGAATTTCAAGGGACCAGCAAAAAAAGAAAAATTCGACTTTGAGAGGTTTCAACTTGGGGAGGTTGGAGTACAACCAAGCATTTTTTGTTGTTGTTGCAAGGAACACGGAAGAATTGCAGGCAATTGTAAATGTTGATATTCTGGGCCTTGAATTGCTTTTTAAATGAGTTGACTGGATGCTGAACTTGCAGGCAGGGGTTCATTTGCCCAATTTTGTCTTTCTCTTCCTTTCAAAATGCATCAAATTTCTTCTTGAGGAAATTAAAGCCAAAAGGGCCCAGAAAATTTGACTTGTGGAGGTTCCAGAGGAAAGCCTTTGAGCAAGGGAGGTTTCTAAGAAGATTCAGGTGGGGACTTGAAAAAAATTAAACTTTGGGAGGTTTGAGTTATCCAGGTTCAACTGTTTACTGTCAACCCTCGATTTAGTGTCACGCATTTTCCCTGGAACAAATCTCCATACATTGTGTTATCAAGGGAAACCCTGATTTGGTGCCAACTCACTTGGTGTTGTAAAAATTTCCTTATTGTGGATGAAAACGGGGCCAAAATGAAAGGAGTTTAGGCCTTTTTCTAGGGACATCAGTGGGTTATTTCCGTGAAGCACATACTCTTGGAAAACCTCAGGATCACTTTGAAGTTTGAACATTCTGGGTCTGAATTAACTTTATTCAAGACATACTTGTACATGCAGTGGGCCCTCAGTTAAAACATTGGTTCCAAACAAAATTGTGTCAACCAAAGAGTTTGTTAACCTAATTTGATTTTCCCAGACTTCAGTCAAGAAGAATTTAATCCATTTTATGAACTCAAAATAAAATTCAAAATTTAATTTTTAAAATTCGGGACCATAAAATATAATTAGAAGGAGTTGTTTCTGCATCTTACATGTGCCTAGAATGTTTTGTAGTGTTTGGGGAAGTAGCACTGATGAAAACAAAGCTAAAAAAAACCTTCTCATCCAGAGAAACACACACCTGAGGATACATGTCACCTGAAAATGATGTGTTCTTTTTATATTGGTGAAAGTAAAGATCAATTTGACTTGCATTAACAATTGAGCATATCCACATTTTTTTTCAACATTTCCTTTGTCTACAGCACCTTCTTACTGAAGCTATCACTTATCTATTATCACTTCTCTCATTGGTTAAGCTCAAACCATGGTACACCCCCAGTTCCTCTATTAAATGGTGAACCCATTAAAATCTTTGGTAAGCTGTATGTGTCTCTGAAAAAATTGGTTTGCTTGACTGGTTAATTTGAACTTGGAATGAGTCAAAGGAGAGGTGCTCCTCTAAAAACATTTTGGACCTTTTATTAAAATTTTAGATGATTTGAAAGGGATTCCTATGATTTTCTGTTCAATAATCCTCTGCTTTTCTGTGCTTCCTTATTCATTAGACTATCAGGAATGCAATTTCTTTCACTCAGCACTGAACTTACTTTCTCAAAATTTTACAAAACTTTGCACAAAAGTCAACAGTTCTGGAGAGCTTTTGAAGAACTGCATGACATTAAAAAAAATGCAAGTAAATTCAATTGAGAAAGGCCTGGTTTATTCTCCATCATAATAATGGCCTGCATTTGGTGGTTTTTGTCATGAGTTAAGCTGGGATTGCAAGTCTGGCCATAGAGAGTCATAAACAAATTGAAAAGTCTCATCATTTTGACAAAAAAATCACAGCAGATGAATTGGTGTGGGGATTTTACAGACACAGAACTTTCTCAAAGAATTGACACCCGCAAAGGGAGCACTAAAGCAGGGGTATTGTATCAGAGGGAAATTTAGTTTGGGCTTCTACTTAAGGTGAAATAGGCTTTTTTGCAGATTTTGTTTGGCCATTGAGTCTGTTTTGTTGGAGAGAAAGCCGCAGGAAATAATTGGAGGATCAAATGAACTGTTTCTACCACATTTGTATTCATTTTATAGCACAGAATATACAGTATTTGATTTTTGTCCATACATTGGTTCAAGTATTAAAGTGGAACTGTTTGTTGCAGTTTTGTATCAATCTTTTTATGAAAGCATACAATTCCAAGATCAGATGGAGTGCTTTTTAATTTTTGAAAGAGACAATCCCAGTTAGTGAGATACTCTCTGCTGTGGGGGGACATCCAAATAATTCCACTCAATTCCATGTGAATTCAGAAATATAATTGTTCAGTTATCTTGAGCATGCGTCTCTTCAATAAACGAATGATATATCCAGAAATATGCCTTAATTTCTTTGATTTCGGCCTATTTATCGATTATGACTGAACGTTTTCCACAGCATTAAGTGAGTAATTGAGTTGGCGCTAAATCCGGGTTTTCCTCAAGAACACAATTGATGGAGATTCGTTCCAGGGATATTTGTTGCACAATGTGGGGGTGCCGCTCAATGAAGGTTTGACTGTGTGATAAAACCGGTGGTCAGATCTTTTGGTTGACATTTCCGAGGGAATTCCCAAGTTGCAAGCAATTATTAATTTCGGTGGTGTTTCGTTCCTTTGCAGGTAATTTTGTGAAGAAGTTGTGGGCAATCGAACGACAGGATGTGGCGGACATGGTTATGCGACTTGCACCCCTCTATAGAATGAAGGACACAAACGGAACTATTTTCACAAATTTGGGCTCCAAGAAAAAGCCGCCAACTTGAACGATTTCCGGGCTATGATCAGTGCAGTATTTCCGAGCTCAGAATTGCGTCACTTGTACGGGTATCAGCTCGCCGGAAAGGATGTCGAGCTTCGTACAAACATTTCCGGCGTGTCATTCGTTTTTTTGGCGTCATCTTTTTTTGGAATGTTTCGAGCTTTAGGAACCGGTTGCATTAGAGTTTTCAATGTCGAACGATCTCATTTTTTTGCTGTGACCCGTGAAGGCGACAATTTTTCGGGAATTCGCTCGCTTCAAGTATTGATTGATTGGCGATACATGAGCTTTTTAATCTCTGGTTGCAATATTCGTTGATGGAAGCAATGGGGAATTGGATGGCGCGATTGATTGATGGATTGCATACGCTGTTCTCGTTTCGAAATTTTTCTCGGAGAGTGTCATCTCTAAGGCTATGTTTCTTTTTTTTTCCGGCCTATGCTGAGGAAATTAAAACCTTGGAATCATCACGTAGGAAACCGAGCATCGATTGAAGGAGATTTTTGAAATGTTAGCCTTTTTCTCTTCGTATCAGATCACCAATTTTCGGTGTGCCAAAGCAACTTACGAAAGAATTTTTTGCCTTTTTATCGGTGTTCAACCTAACCAGATGCGTTGCGTCAGCGTTTCATCACGAGGAATTGTGCTCGTGAAGCTGCAGTGCGTGGCCAACAATCCTGGAAAAACCTGTGAAACATGAAACATTGGAACCATTGGCCTTTCGGTGTTTTTTCCCTTCGGTTTTTTCCTCGATTCAATAAAAGAGAAGAGAGACCTTCGAATTGAACTGAAGTTGTTTTCTTACTCAATATCGGAATTCCGTTTGTGATTGTTCTGCTTCTGTTTCTTTTTTTTTGCGTTCTCAATTTCAGAGAAACTTGTTTCAAGATGGCGCTACGAGGCTTGAAAGTGGTGGAAATGGCGGGACTAGCGCCGGCTCCATTTTGTGGCATGATGCTTGCGGATCACGGCGCGTCGGTCGTGCGAGTCGACAGAGTGAGTTCTGTTTTACTGTGTCTGAAAAGTTGTTGTAATGTTAAAACAGTGTACAGTGCGTGAAGTTGTGGTTGACTCATTACAGTACAATACATCCATCAACCATTGCAGGTTCAGTATGGATATCTGCGTTAGATACCCCGAGGCTTGTCTGTACGCAATGTTCAATGTGAGAAATGTTCGGTTTTTCAGAGAAGTGTTTTCGTGAAATTGATTCGTAATTTCAAAATACCGAACAGTGGGGTTTTGGTTTATGAACTTGATCAATTCCTGAGCAAATTTTGTTAACCACTTCACATTTTTCCTTAAGCAATTACAGGAATAATTTTAATTGGTTCCAGAACATTGGAAGTGTCCATGAAAATTGTAAAAAAAAATTACCCAGAAATGTTACTGGCCCTGAAATCCAAGAAGTTGGAGAAGCTCAAGAAGTATTGATGAAGACAGGAGCATAAGAAGTATTAGAGAAGGAGGGGGAATTCAACACTTTCCGTGCAAAAATTTATTCAGTAAATTCATTTAGGACTCTTATAGTCAATCCCTTTACCCAATTCATTTATTCTACAATTTGTGCGACCTGTGTCTGTAAATGAAATAATAAGGTTGTTGCTGATTTCAAGGAACTTCGACACGCGTTTCTTCTGTAACACGTCTTATTCTCCAGAGTCTCAATCTTCATAACCACACAGACACAAGTCAATCATTCAAGAATATGAAAGAGGATGTTGATAGGTCAAGAGTTTGGAACTGAATGCCGCCAGGCTGTCTCGCCTTGCTCCTCCTCGCGCCCCCCTTCCGATCATCCGCGCGCCGCTAACCGTACCGCCGACACGTGGAACCCTTGGGTTGCGCCTTCGCCGCTAGGTGACGCTAGTGAATGTAAGGGAGTGCCCTTACTAAATGAAGAACTGGTGAACGATGCTGACATTCGGCATTTCTATCCACCAAGGGTTTTATGGACCCCCGCCCCTCAAAAAAAAAAAAAGGGGGGGGCCATCCACAGGGCCGAAAAAATCCTTTGATTCTTGGGCAGGCCGCGCATTCAAGACGGCTGCCGATTTTATCTCATCGTTGCCAGCGTTTCAGTTTTCTGCCAGTGTTCTTCGTTTTTTGGGGACATCGTCATTTCTTGGGCAAATTTGGATGGAAGGCAGGTATAAGACTGTATACAGTAGAATATTGTTACAGCAAAGTGTCTGGGACCTTAAAAGACTGTACTGTATACAGTAGAATCTTGCTACAGCAAAGTGTCTGGGACCTTATAATGCTTTGTTATGAAAAACTTTATATAAATTAAATAACATTTGTAGGAAATGGACTGTTTGAAACTGTATACAGGAGAATTATTTAACAATAATGTGTTTGGAAACTTAAATAAGCTTATTTATGAAAATAATTTGTATTGTTTCCCATTTATAAATTATATGTGTGCAAAATACATTCAAAATGGGACACAGGAGAAAATCCTGGGAGGAAAAATCCTGCAGCAGGAAGATATTGGCCTTTGAGGCCAAAAGGTATGCCTCAGGATCTGTTATGGCCTCACATAATATACTGTAATTATCAAAGGGGATTCTTCTCACGTATATAGGTACATTCATGTTTTAGGAATTTTTTTCTTGTCAGGTTTTCAGGCCTACCCAATTATTGGATTATCCTGCACCTAAAAATATTAAAGAAGTCCCATCACCTAAGAATTATTTTCCAGTTATTAACATATATTTGCTCAGAAAATTTGTACAAAATGTCCTGTGTAACACTGCATACAGGAGAATTCTTCAACAACCATGTTTTTGGAAACTTGAAAAAACAAATTTATGAAAAAATTGTATTGTTTCCTATGCATAAATTATAGAAGTAAGTATGTGTAATATTGTCAAAATGGGGTACAGAAAAAAAATCTCCTGGGAGGAAAAACCCTGCGGTGGGAAAATCCTGTGAGGCCAATACCTATACAGTACCTTCAGATCTCTATTGGTCTCACCTATTGCCCTGCTGTAATTATCAAAGGGGATTCTTCTGAGGTATAGTAGCAGATACAGGTATTTTTGGATTTTTTCTTCCTGCCAGATTTTCAGTCCTACCCAATTATGGGCTTTCTGATTTGCAAGATATTTTCTCCCATGGGATATCCTGCACAAAAAGATATTTAAGAACTCATACTTCCCAAGAATTTTCCCTTTATTCCAATGTATTATAAAATCTCAGTGTCTCAAAATATCTGGTCTTGAGGATCCTGTATAAACCAAAAATTCAGAAGGCCTAGCCCCACGGTTAGCAAGTTAATTTTTTTGGAAATTGCTGTTTTCCAAAAAAAATGATACAACAATGATAAAACTCATTTGGTCTGGTCTCCAGCATTCTTGAAATCATAGAACTTAAAAAAATTAACTTCACAATGATGTTGACAATTCCAACATAAATCATGGTGAATACAATTTTACTTCAAAACTGCATGTGTGATTGTAAATTAAGTTTGAATTGTCTACACACCATTCCTTACTTAAGTTAAGAACAAATTCTTTGCTGCATAAATTCAGGCTGTCGGTTTTTTCTTTTTTTTTTTTACCTGGCAAGATTTTTTTGCCACTTGGATTTTCCAGCTGCATGATTTTTTACCCAGCAGTAATTTCTCATGGAGCCCTATTTTTGCCTTCTTTACAACCTTGCCTCTTCCTTTGATATGGGGTGAAGAAAATCATGCCAAGCTAAATGTTAGCTAGTGTTTTTGTGCCAGGAAATCCCTGCCATTCAACTGGTCTGTCGCATTGTAGCAGACCAGTGGCAGAGAAGACATAAAATTTTAAATTAAAATCTTGTGGCTTGGTTGGAGGCATTATTGGCTATTATTGGCTCTATTCTAATCCAGTGTGGATGCATAGGATGATTGTCCTTGTGTGCAAGGTGCCTGAATGTTGTTGTAATCTTTGTTCCATACTTTGATTCCCCCCTGTGCCTGCACTGATTCTGTTCCATTTGGTCTTGTGTAGTTAAGTAAAAAAGTTTCAAGAGTCTCCTCTAAGACCTGGCTGAATAACCACTGACTGTCCTGTGGTTTATTTTCCTGCCTTTCTTTGTAAATTCTGGCGTGTCAGATGACACCAATCTTGAGCCAAGATGCAGGGTGATGCAGAGAAATGTGTAGCAGAGAGAGTTCAACACCCTCCATGTTCATAAACCCAGGCCGGACACACCTGGAGGACTCAATGGTGGACCCATACCGCTATAGGCCTCCACCACTGCAGTTGTTCGAGTATCTGGATGGAGCAGGGCTAATCTGGGAATTAACATTGCATCTAGATTACCTCCAGAATCTCCAAATTTATTGTCTGAAAATGGTATGAGCAATCAAAATTCTTGATCATAGAAGTGGCAAAAGAGTGATTCTGAAGGGAAGAGTTGACCACTTTTGGCACTTTTGCGCCACTTCTATGATGGAATAATGTTATCTTGGATTGGAGGTGATGTATTTGTTTATTTTCCACCAACTCCGAGTGCAGAACAAATTGACGTAATTTCCATCTTCGTGAAAAATGTGTGAATTTTGTTGTGAATGATCAGGAGCAATTTTCAAGGCATCAAAGCTTGGGTACCGCATGAATTGATTTGGCTTTTGAGGAATCATCAAATCAACTTCAACTTTGTTGAGTTTATGGTGTCTTTGAGGATATCATGTATAAGGAAGGTTTTAACTGATTCGATTGATATGTTTCTGTTTCGTTAGCCAAGAGCGATGGATGTGGATCGATTAGCAAAGGGGAAGCGGTCTTTGAGCGTGGACTTGTCCAAGGAAGCGGGAGTTCGGATTGTGCGCAAGTTGTGTTCTACTGCTGATGTTTTGATTGATCCATTCAGAATCGGTGAGTGTGGTGTCATTGTTGGGCAACTGCGCCACGCCTGGTGTATACAGGCAAATTCAATTGATATGTAATGCAGATATGCAGTGAAAGCTGTGGAATCTGGAAGAGTTATTTCTCCCCTTCATAAAAATTGCACTACCAGGAGCTGCAAATGTCTTTTGTGACAGAATAATTTGGCACTTTAATATACTACTGTACCTGCACACTGGCTACTGTTAGATGGCAGCCATATTAATTGAATACTAGAAACTTTAATCTGTACCCTTCCAGGGTTTTAAAAATTTAGGTGCTGAAGTACAGACTACAAAAAAGTCTTGTCTTTTGTGTTTTGGGGATAATTTGAAATGCAGTTTTTATCTGTTCTTTTGGGATCTCATCAAAAGAGATACCCAGCTGAACCCCACAGCTGATTCTGGTGTTTCATTTCTGAAATTCCACCTTTTTGTGACATTTCAGCCACATCTTTGACTTGCATTTTTGGGCCAATCAAGGGCCTCAAAATATTGGACAACAAACACGCAGTACTTCACTGTATATGCTCCAATAAATACCCCAGCTTTTATCAACAATTTTCCATGTTTCCCTCTGGCCTTTAATCCAGACCAGCATTTATTATATATCAGCAATTATTTCCATCAGTTATTGCCACTGTGGAAGAAGATAAAAAGAAAATTGGGTGGAACACAATGGGAAAATAGGGTAAAAATTGGATTTTCCTCTGATTTCTGGAAATGAGACAGGAACGCATAAGAAAAGGCTAGAGGGAAAGTGTTTCAATGCTGACTACATAAGGCTAGGTTGTAGGAATGATGATTAGGATCATGAGAACAACAAAATTCTTGGAATTTGTCAACCCCCCTCTTTTTCTTGACTTGTTCACTACAGGCTGGCAAGCCTTCCCTCAAACCCCCTTTGAGACCCAGGTCTATTGGAGACCTGGCATTTATTGTAGCAATTATGATAATTTTAAGTGATCCAAAGTCAAAGAACTTCTTGATCACCCACTTGTTTACTCAACCTTATTGCATTGTTATTTAAGTTATTCTGTTGCTATCCATAATACCTTTCTAAGAGTTCCCCTTTCTTTCATTGTGTTGCAATAAATAATTGCTGACACTGATCCAAGTCGGCACATTCTACAATCTTGTTTTGAAAAAGTTTATAAATACCTGTACAGGTATTCCTTGCATATATGCAGTGAGACCCCAGAATGTGGAGATGTTTGAAACTGAAAATATCTGTCCCAACATCTGGAGAGTGACTCAAGATACAGACATTTTTCTGAGAATTCTGGAAAATTTTCTACATATTCTCTGTCAAAATTTTTGTTTTTCTTGAAGGCATTGGCTATTTACATTTATAAATACTGTACTTTACTAAAATAAATTTTATTATAAAATTACCATAGTTTATAATGAAAAGCAAGCTAATTTTGTGCTTCTTTTTCAGTTTTTTCCATCATTTGTGCTCAGAACAGCAGGACTTCTTTTTATTCTCAGCTTCTTGATCTTCTCATGACAAAAGATCAAATTATGCGTGATTTTCTTCTGTATATGCATTTACTGTATTTTGAAGTTGAGAAAAAAATTATTATTATTAAATTTTTGTGTAAATATTTTCAATTATTGATTTACAATTCTACAGGATAACCAGTTAAAAATATTCTCAAGTCTATAGAAAAACCAAGGTCCAACATGCAGACTTTCAAATTTAAGGACCCGGTCCATGCACCAATTATGCCTGCATATTGGGGTCTCACTGTAAATCTGTAATATAACTTCTCTCCCAGACTTTGCTGTGAAATCTTGTCTGCATTGAATTGCTCCAAGCTTGTACAAATGAATTGCTGGTTGAACTACAATACTGTACTTACTCAAGTACCACACACCCTGGATTAAGGTGCACACCCCCATTTTTTCTTGTTAAAATTGTCCAAAAACCTAACCCAGCTGTGTAAGACCCTAAACCCAGTTTTTGTTGGCTGAAACTTTCCATAAAATTTAATATTTCATCTTTGCTTTCTTATTTTTTTCTTCAAAATGTGCTTGTATTTGAGGACAGCCTCCACTATGAGATGACTATTTTCCCCATCCTTCAACTCCTGTTGCACCTGAGCACCTCCAACTCATAGGGTTATTGAAGCAGCCGTTTATTTTAGTAAAGTTTGTAAAATTGTTACTGCTTTTTCCCGCCTGTATTTCTGGGAAAATGTGCACGTGGTACTTGGATAAATACAGTAATAAAGAGTTGCTATTGATACTTCTCAGAGTATTTTTCGGAACTTCTCCAAAAGCTTGCAGTAAACTGTTGAAACTTTCTTGTATAGCTGTTGAATGGTAACAGAATTGGCTCAAAACACCTATTCAAGTAAATCAGCTGGTTAGCTAATGAATAAATGAGGTTCAATTTCCAACAAATTTGAAACAACAGTATGTCCGAAGGATTTTCTGAGTTGTTCATTGCTTCGCGTCTTCAAAATCTTTTGGTGCAAACGGACATGCATTTCTTACTCCCTAATTAAAAATTGCGAAGGGATTTCTGGCCTTGTTCCGAGCTGATTGCTGTGATTTAATTATCTTCCTTGGAATCAGATGAAAGATTCAATTTTTACTTCATATTATGTTGAGGAAACCTTCCATCCATGCACATTTCTCTCCCATTTCCCTCATGAATTTATTTGTTTGCTTTTTTCAGGTGTGATGGAGAAGCTTGGTCTGGGTCCGAAAGTGTTGATCGAGGACAACAAGTCTCTCGTTTATGCGAGACTCAGCGGGTTCGGCCATTACCCAACAGACGGTTTGACTCGGAAAGCGGGTCATGACATCAACTTTTTGGCCACGTCTGGTCAGTCGAGAAGATTGATTAAAAAATAAAAAAAAAGAGTTGGGCGAAACCCCTGAAAAAAGAAAGTTCGACTGGGATTTTGTATGGCCTTAGGAATCCTGTCGCGACTTGGCGCTGCCGGCAGTCCACCAGTGGCGCCCGTGAATCTCCTGGCTGACTTTGGTGGCGGTGGTCTCATGTGCGGCTTTGGCATCATGGCGGCACTGTACAGGCGAGCCCTGGACCCGGAGAAACGAGGCCAGGTGGTGGACTGCTCCATGACTGAAGGTGTGGCCTACATGGCGTCATGGCTGTACACTTCCTCGGGAATGGAGGCGATTTGGAGTGGACCCAAAGGAACTAATTTGTGAGTTTTCATGAAATTAATACTACTGGGTAAAATCTCGCCTGCAACGATTATCTCTGTGTAATGAATTATTCATTTTTTTTTTGGTGCCATGTGGTTCTCTAGAACAGTGTTACCCAACCTTGTTGTCATGGGCTAACATAAAATTTTTCGCCGACTGGCAAATTAAAAAAAAAAAAGTCTGGAGACCAGCAGTAATTTAGCATAGTGTACTTCATAAAATGTTTGCAGGCTCAAGAAAAGTTTTGTTTGATGGAGTTCATACCAGGTACAGTATTTTGGAACTTTTTTTGCAAAGATTAAGTCAAGAACCAATGAAGCAGCTATAGTGGAATGTCTTCAACAAATTAGAAAGGTGGGCTTGAAGAACAGTTTCTCGGGATGAAGAATTAAAATAATTCATTTCAGCTGGTGAAAATTTGTCTCAAGTGTGATCATGTGAACAGCCAACTTATTTTAGTGAAATAATTTCAACTTTAATGGTCTTTCCAAAGTTTCAGATAAAGATAACAAACTTCATTGCTACTTTTCATAAATTTATTATGTTGGAAGAAATTTTCCTTTGGGCCTTGGAACTTGTTGGAAGATATACAGAAATTACTGGCTTATATTTTGTAAGAGAAGTCCATTTCTCAAAAAACACCCTTGTACAAAAAATATTGTGGACCTGCATAAAACTTGTTGCAGGAAATACAGACGTTTTTTGCTTATATTTTGTAAAAGAACTCCAGTTCTTTAAAAACACCCTTGTCAAAAAGAATATAAATTTCCCTGCCCATTATTGAGTCTTGTACTAGTTGATCAGAAATGAGGCTTTATAGCCTGGAAGACATTTTTGGTGGGCGGGTACTTTCTTTTTCTCAAGTCCTAACAAAGTTTTGCCATGACGAGTAGGATGACATGACCTGAAATTCGACTCAATTCATCCCTGATAACTTAACTCCCTTGTACGGCTAAGGTTGCTACAGTGTGTGAAAAGACAGGTTTGCGGGGTGTATCCAGTGCACAGCATGAATCATTTTTCCGTGTTTTATTTTGAGTTGAATCATGTAGGGTGTCGATGTTATATTGATGATATCCGTTGCTTACTTCCAGACTGGATGGCGGTTACGCCTTTTACAGCTGTTACGAAACCAAGGACAAGAAGTACATAGCTGTCGGTGCTTTGGAGCCGCAGTTCTTCGACCGTCTGGCCACTGCTTTGAATCTCTCTGAAGAAATGCGATCAGAGCATCAACTGGACCCAGACGAACAGCCGAGACTCAAGCAACTGCTCGCGGAAACCTTCCGCAGAAAGACTCGTCAAGAGTGGGAAGAGGAATTCTCGCGTCTTAATTTAGATGCGTGCGTCTCGCCAGTGCTGGAGATGGACGAAGTCAGCAAACATCCTTTGGCTGTGGCGAGGAAGAGTTTCTTTGAAGACGATGGTGAAACGAATGAGTATGGGGTGAGACCCTGGCCGGCTCCGAGGTTGGAAAACTACCCGGCAGTGCCAAGTAGTCAGTCGCCGATTGTTGGGCAGCACTCCGTTGAAATTCTGCGCGAAATTGGATACGGGCAATCCGAGATTCAAGAATTTTCCGACGGTGAAATTATTTATGATTCCGGGGAGTCGTTTTCATCCAAGTTGTGATGGGTCTGTATTACGGGAATCGTTTGAATTTTGAGGAGACGACGGGTGAATTTATTGGGATATTACATTCTCTGGAGGATTGTTAGCTATTCTTTTGGATGGAATAGAGAGGCATTTTTGTGGCTTCGTGTGTCATTGTGATGATTCGCGATAAATGCTGAAATTTGTATGTACTGTACTGTATTCTGTCATCCTCTGTGGGTTCTTGAGTTTGAATCGTTCAAATTTTTTGAAAAAGGGTTAATTCATTGGAATTTCACTGTTTATATTTGCTATTGATTGTACGAAATAGAGGAATATTTTCATGGCCCACTGCTCAGTTGATGTTTCAGATCGTTCTTAATCATATGTTAAGGTTTCATCTCGTAGTTTTTCAAGTCTGACGTTGACACATTCCATCAAGTAGAGATTTTTTTTTTCCATAAAGTAAAGAGGTTAGAAATTCAACGAGATCTTCCCGAAGCTCCTCCGGAGGTTGGATAAAAAGGTGAGTGGAATGCCTTGGTATAATTTCCCATGACTTTTTTGGATTGGTTTGGGGAATTACTCTTTCATTATCAAATATGTTCAGTCCATCGGATTAGCTAACCTGAACAAACATACCTTTAAAAAAAGGCGGAAAGATGCTGAAAATGGAAACCCATCAGGATTTACTTCCGTATTCTCAAGTTTCTGAAAGTCAGGGATCTTGACTTCACCGAAATGTGCGAACAATCTCAAGGTTCGAAACAATAGAAGGCTTTACTTCTGATCATTTCCAGATTTTCCTCTCAAAAGCGATGGATTCGGAAATTCGTTTCTTAAAGAGGGTGCTTTTTCCAGTGGAGAACTTGAACGTCATCAAGATTCAAGAGCACAATTTATTCATTAGATAAAATCATTTTCGCAACAGTCGAGGCGTTTCAGCAGGTATGAGACATGGGATAGGGAGTATGCGGTCGCTGATCCGTCAGACGAGCCCCAGTAGAGTATCCGTAATGAAGGACGATGGACGTACGGTATTCATTATTTTGCTGTCAACATCACAACTCCAATGAAATTAGTCAGCCAGGAGAAACACGAGTCATTGTTATTGGGTACTGGGTGACGCTTTTCCTCCTTCCACCGCTCATCAGCTGCATCTCACTCCTCGGTATGTGATTGAATCGGGTGGGTAATCTTACACTCGGTAAAACTTTGGGAGAAACAGTTGGGTGTCGCCCGAGTTGAGCGGACCGTACTCTACCTCACCCTGGCGTGATCAACAAAATACAATACCTGTTCAATAACGAATTCGCGGGTGGAAAAACTTCTAGGAAGTGCAAACAGACGCTAGCGATCTGCGGGGTTTTCTGAACATTAAGGCGAAAAGGGTTTTAATTTATTGAAAAAACAACAAAATTTTTATTGAAATGACAAGATTCCTAAAAATAAAAAATAAAATTTTTGGGCCAATTGTGGAACAACAGTACAGTACTCTCAACATGAAGAATGAAGACCTCCTTCCACGCAGAACACGACCACAGTATGCGTATGGGATTCCGGGATGGTGATTACCCGAATTTCTTAGAGCCCAAACATCAAGCGGGTTCGTGCCGCTGATACTGTATTTGCGATATGTGGGAGAACGTGGATAATGCTGTATCCTGAGCGAAGTCACTCGGCATTATGTGGAGTTGTCGTTGTAAATGCTGTTCGAGTGCCCCAATTAATTTTTTCTGTGGTGGATCATGTCATTTCGAAAATGCATATAAGCGCAGCCAGTCTTGAGTTCGTCTCCTTTGTTCGGAGCTTGGCGGTTCGTCATGCAGTTGGTAGTGCCTTCTGAAGTACTCCACTGTAAGCAACGATTTTGTCACAGTGATTGGTGGCTGGAAATTCTCCAGTCATTATTTCGTGATGTTTGCTGTGCTGCATTCAACGGATCTCTTGATGGTTTATTTAGAAATTGTTGACATCTTCGGACGACAATTCTTGATTGACTTCGTGAACTTGAACGGCATGGTTTGGTAAATCTCTTCTCTTGTAGGCCATTTTCGAAAATATTTATCGTCAGGTATGGTCGTGATATGTCGACTAACGTGAAAAGTGCCGTCACTTCGGGTGAGGAGTTGGAGTCATCCGCCGTTGGCGCGAACTGTGCGAAAATCGTGAAATCATTGGAAGAGCGTGATGGTAGCTCAATAAATTCTTCGGAAGAATGTGCTTCGTCTTCGGGATCAGGGAATCCTGACGATAACTTTCCGAAAGTTACCTACAGTGAGAAAGAAAGCATCGTCCGCTTTGAGTTGAATGGCGCTGAAGAAGTCTTAGGCATTGGTGAACCCATTCCAATCGTAGACGAAGCTAATTTCGAAGAATGGATTCCAGAGGAAGAAGAAAAGCCATTGCCCATCTTGGTTCCAAAAACTCCACTTCCCAAGTCTCGAAAATCTTCAAAGAAAACACCAAAATCTGCAAGAGCCCGAAATGCCGAACTCTGTGGCCCCAGTCACACCGTAATTCCCCTTCAGGTCAAACCTTCCGCACCAAAAGTTGTCATCAACGAGGTCATCGACTATCCCGATGTCCCCGCTATTGAACAACCAGTATGTTATTATCGGTAAGGGGCGTGTGTTTCAGATTGTCTTTCATGTTACGGGAGAATTGTGCTTTACTGTGGACAGGTTCATTGAGAAAACTCCAGATGAGCTGGATGATGAGGTTGAGTATGACATCGACGAAGAAGATGAACTGTGGTTGACTCGGATTAATCATTCACGAAAGCGGAAAAAGATTCCTCCGGTTTCCGTTGAAGATTTCGAATTGCTTATGGATAGACTGGAGAAAGAGTCTATTTTTCAGCCGTCTAACACTGTACAGGATGCAGAGCCCATCGACGATGAAGCGATATGCTGTATCTGTATGGATGGAGACTGCGAGAACACCAATGTCATACTTTTCTGTGATATGTGCAATCTTCCTGTTCATCAGGAATGTTATGGTGTGCCATACATTCCCGAAGGGCAGTGGCTTTGTAGAAGATGTCTGCAATCACCCTCCAGAGCCGTGGATTGCGCGTTATGTCCGAACAAAGGTGTGTTGATCTTGTTTGACGTGTAATAATCCTACTGGAAGTTGAGTGTTCAATCATGCTACAAGTGTCGACAAGCATTGCCTTCGTGAAATTCAGTGTACGATTTAGTTACCGGGAAACTTGGCCACCGCGTTCATTACACTTGAAATTTGATTCTGAATTCGAACATTGCCGAAAACCATGACGAATTGCGTGTGATCAGAAATTCTTCATCGTTATACTTCTGTATTTGAGTAAAAAATTGGTTACCCTGAGTGTCTCAGCTAGAACTTCTCATTGCTGCGAATGGATAAGTTTCAGAAAAGTGTATCTACATCTGTACCATACTTGCAGTGTGATTGGAGAGTTGCTTTCTTGAATCATTCCGATAGTTCGCGCATTCGTTATCTGAAATGGATCCTTCACTTGTTGTGAAGGTATTGATTAATCGATTATTGAACGTGTTAACGTGTTAAATTTCTCTGCTCGTTGTGAATTTACGATTTTTATGTGCTATTAGCGAGCTCATCGAGAAAATTGCGTTTCGGCCGTCATTTTCGCTAGTAATTGGACATTTTTGGTCTGTCTGAATTCCTGAGAATTCATTTCTAACGTCGAAGGATAAGAAAACATTTTTGATGCCTCATTCGCAGTTTCCGAATAGTTTTTCATACCACTACTGTACTGCAGGTTTTAGAGGTGTTGCATTGTATTTTTAAATAGTAAGAAGTGAGGCTTTGCTTTACTTTTTCCAGGTGGAGCATTCAAACAAACCTCTGATAGTCGTTGGGCTCATGTGGTGTGTGCGATATGGATCCCCGAAGTTTGTTTTGCGAATACCGTCTTTCTGGAGCCCATCGACAATATAAAGAATATTCCGGCTGCCAGGTGGAGGTTGACGTGTTATATCTGCAAGCAAAAGAATATGGGAGCTTGTATACAATGCAATAAAAACAATTGCTATACTGCGTTCCATGTCACCTGCGCGCAGCAAGTAAGTTGCTACCAGTTACCTTTTTAATTATGGTTTTTAGCTGATTATGTTGCTAAAAATGATGCGATGAGTTTTCAACATTTTAGAAAAATTTCTCTAAATTTTTGGTTTGTGAATGAGGAACTTTTTGAGGCGCAGGAACATCTGATACGGGATTTCTTTTCTCGAAATTTGTATTTTTCATTTTTGAGCCTTCATTCAACCGTCCGAATTATGCTTGTGAGAAACTGCCAAGCTTCGAATTCGAAATACAGTACTGTACATTCGAACCTCTTTGAGTCGAACTTCAAGAGATCAGGAAAAAAATTCGAGTTGAGGAAGTATTTTCGTCAGTGGAACGAAATAAAAATCGCAGGATATTGTAATTGTTGATATTCTAAGTCCTGAAGTGCTTCTTAAATGCGTTGACTGGATGCTGAAGTTTCCAAATTTCGTTTTTTTACTTTCTTTCAAAATTCATCTAGTTGCATTTTAAAGCTTTTCTATTTCCTGTATAAATGAAATAATAGTCGAAACAAATTCGGCACAAGGAGGTATTTGACTCAGGGAGGTTCAACTGTGAAAATATTCCATTTCAGTAATATTCAAATCTTCCCTACATTTTGAAAATCCATGTTTTAAAATATTGATTGAAAGTGAGACGAATCCCCGTGGAACTAAAGATTTATCTAATGTACTTTTTTGACAAGTTTACGGGTTTCCTGTATCATAAAAGCCTCGCTGAAATATGTCGGCTATTTAAAAATGTGAAGTTTCCTGGTCCGTGGAAGTATTGTAATCCAATTTCGCAAAACATCCAGGCGTGTGGTTGACCTGAAGAAAGGAAACCTGTCCCACTAAGAAAAGAATATTCCACACTGATCGAAACGAAATTTGAAAGTGATGACCTTTCCTGAAAATATGTCTTTGCACCTTCTATAATTTTGTGATTTTCGATTCCAGGCCGGTCTATCGATGAAAATTGATGCCGCGCGGGATTCCAACGGCGCCAAACTGAGTGTGAAAAAAAGCGCCTTCTGTGATGTTCATGGCCCTTGTGACGGGGACATATCAATGGCTGCGGACGCCCAACCAGATTCTCCGCACAAAGATCCTGATCGGGAACATTTCCGAGAAAGGTTTGTCCTCGACTTCGAATCCTTTTGTCGCTATCGAACGAAGTATGAAATTTTCTTCGCCGGCTTGTCGTGTTGTGTTATATCCATACCCGTGTTATAACTTTGACTCTGCTCCTCGGAGACGGAACTGCATAAACGAAAATCACTTGAAGCCAAAAACCTGAACTGCCTTATTTTTCAATCTGATTCCGAGAGCCGATTACGAAATTTCAGTATTTCATTTTGTTGTGAAACGGAGTGAACTTCTCCCCATTTTCATTTAAAAAAAATCAATTTTCATAATAGGAAATAAGTGGAAATTAATTTTCGTAAATTTTTCGCTTGTCTTCCTTGACTTTTAATTGATCAATCTATCTGCATGGATTAATATACTGTACCAGCAATTGCTGAATACTTGATAGTGGCAATGGTGTTTTTGCCTGAAGTGTGCTTGAAACCTTGAAAGAAAATTCTGATTCTGTCATCACGAAGTAGAATCAGAAAAGAATCATGCAAATTGTGCGGAAGTCTCGGACAGGCACGAAAAATCACTCGAACATCCGGAACGTTTTGCGTGACTCACAACTTTTTAAGTTACAGTATTGAAAGTCACGCTTGTTGAAGTAAGTCTTGTACAAATCAATTTTCAGTGTAACGAACTTTTTTCCAAGTCACTTCAGAAAGCCCGTAGAAGACATTTTAAAACAATGTCTTTATAAAAAATTCCCAATTCCAGTTGAACAAAATTTTTTAAAAGAATGTCATAGATTCTTCAGGTGAACATTTCCCAACTAAAGCAGGCACAGTCTGACATTTCCAATCCCAACTTTGACTGACTGGTTCTGGTAGCATGGATGGAAGCTGTAATCAATGATTAACTGTGTGAAAAAAATTAACATTTTACAAGCGGTTCCACACATCATCCTCCAAAAGAGGATGGATTTTCACATCATCCTCCCATTGGTGCAAATGACTGAATGCATGATTGAAGCTAATTTTTTTGTCAGAAGATCACTCAGTTTTTAAAAAAATAATTAAAAATCAGAGAATGCCAGAAATCTAATTGATTCTAGGCATGTCTTGATGTGAAAATTGTTTCCCTGTCATTAATTTAAAAATGTTATTGCACCTAATTATTCAATGCGAAACAATTTTCGTGAAGTCTCCAAAAGGTCTTTGTAACGACATTTTACTGTATTTGGCTGGCCTCAGAATTTCAATGAACGTGTATTTTGTGCTCTAGACTGCGGAAGGCGCGCAAAATCCTCGCCGAGCGTCGCACAGTGACACCCTCCGTGTCGGTACCCACGTTACCCGCTGCAGAAGTGCGAGGTATCGTGGATTCCGTGTCATTTCCAAAGCGAGACTGGTTCTTTAAGCGACTGCTGGCGTATTGGTTGCTCAAGCGACGTGCACGAAACGGGGTGCCTCTCATTCGCCGGCTCCAGTCTTCGCAACACACTCGCAGAACCACAAGTGTACCTGAACCCATCAAACACGAACCCGAACCAGAACCGTCTCCGCCTCCTGTGGAAGTGAAAAAGCGGGGACGGAAGCGGAAGATCACGGAAGAAGAGCCTGTGGCGAAGAAGAAGAAAGCTGCTATCGAATCGCCTAGCAAACTTGAAATGTGCGTGGTTGCATTTTTTGATCGTCGAATTTCTTCATTTTCATTTTTTCAAATTTTTTTTTCTTCCCGGTTTAACAGAATCAAACCGAAGATCGTTGTGAAAGACGAGGTGAGAGCAGAGTACAGTATTTGCAAAAAGATCCGCCAAGACCTGGAGAGATCCCGATTGTTGTGTGAACTGGTTCGAAAACGTGAGCGTCTGAAACGGGATTATGCGAGTACTTTGGAACGGGAGTTTGTGCTTCGTATGACTCCCCTGAAGCCCGTGTTGCGGAACATTCTGGACCAATTGGGCGCTCTGGACAACGAGGACATTTTTGCTGAGCCGGTAGGAGATCTTCTGGTGTTTTTATTATTTGTTCCTTGCGTTCACGAGGGATGGTTCAAAAATTATTCCAGAAACGTGTCAATTCTGCGAGGTTTTTTCGGGTGTCCACGTCTCTGAAACCCTATACAGTATTCAAAACCAATGTGGGATCAATAAGGAGGTTCCGTAAATGCTGAGTTCATTTGCTGAGGATTTTTTCAAATTAATGTGCAGCCTTGAACATAATATTTGACGAGGTGTAATTTCGTAATTTAAACATATTCAGGTCTGTGACATCATTTGAACGAATGTCAGTAAAATTTAGTTACAACGAACTTTTGGGGATTTGAGAAAACGCTCGTTGTACTGGATAATTAGTTGAAACAAAATTAATGACTGTAAAACGTTTCACATCAGACCTGCCGATAATCGATTGGATTTTTCTTTTCTGGCATTCTCATATTTTTATGAATAAAAAACAGTGTTATTCTGGGAAAAAAAAGCTTCATTCAATCATTCAGTTGCACCAGCCTCATCATTCTGGGAGGATGATTTCTTGGAAACCTGTTTGTCATTGATTACAGCTTCCATCATCCATGCTACGAGAGTCAGTCAGTTACATTTGCGAGAAGAATTTTGGACTGTATTTGTCTTGGTCAGGAAATGTCCACCTGGGGAATCCATTAAACATTCTTCAAAAAAGTTGGTTATACTGGAATTGGGAAGTTCGTTGAAACGAGATTGTTTTAACATTTGCTCTATAAATTTTCTGCTGGCACTTGAGAAAAAGGTTTGTTAACTGATGAATTTGTTGTAACCGTTTTTGTTGGAACGATATTTTACTTTATAAATTATTCCATATTGTGTTCCATCGTGGTTAGCCTGCAAATTCACAATCCCTATACGTCACATAAGACGAGTTTAATTTTCGACTCCCAATTCATTTCCCTGTGAATCGAATATTACTCTGTGAAAGACAGCAATTCAACATGAGAAGCGCAAGAGAATGATGTGTATGAGGAAAAACCCCTTTACTTGAAGGCCAGAGGATTTGATTTTTGAAATTGTTTCAGGTGGATACCACCATCGTTGATGATTATGCCGATGTGATCAAATTCCCGATGGACCTGTCAACCATGCGCAAGAAAGTGGATGCAGGAGATTATGCCTCTGTTGATGCACTTAGGGACGACTTTCAGCTCATGATACGGAACTGCATGACGTACAACGCCAAAGATACGTTTTATTATAAGGAGGCTGTGAGACAGCGAGATGCTGGGTCAATTGTCATTCGACAAGCCAAAAGGTAACACTTTTCGTCATCATTTGTTACATTGTCTTGTTCAATACTCCGCACTCTGCAGACTGCAACTTCTTATGTTAGCAATAGTCTATTTTGCCGTTGAAGAGTCAATTTTATTCTAGCTACTGATTTTTAATTTTGATGTCAAATTCACGTAGCAGTACATGAAGAGTGTTCGAGGATCAAAGCGTGTAAAATAATTATTCGGGTGGCGATAAAAAAAAAAATCCAAAAATGGTACTGTACCTCTAATTTTGATGCAAGCTGTGCCTTCTTTGAAGAAATATGCTACTTCATCAATGCTTATAAGCTTATAGCGTGAAGACAGGAGCAGATGAACTTCATCTATTTAGTATCCGCATTACGAAAGACCATTGCGAGAAACATTTTTTAGGGGTGGAGGGGCATTGACTCAAATAGCGAAGTTCCACGTAGCCAATTTCACAAGGCAAAAAATGCGAAAATGTCATCAAATTTACTTGTATTAACTTGGGAATTTTTGAAAATTTGTGTGCGACACGAGAAAATTTTCTCGGTTTTACTCTTTCTTCTGTATAATTTATGAAATCCAGAAATTTAAAGAGCTCAAATGTGTCAGCATTATTTCAATTTCATGCAAATCAGTTTTTAAATTCCCTATTTATGCTGACTATTTTGAATTTTATGTTTTGTAATGGTGTGTTGGTGAGTTTGTGAAGCTAATCATGTAATTTACGATTTAATCTTTAGGGAAACGCATTTCGCGTTACAAATAATACAAAAAAATGCAGCGTAGCGAAACGCATCCAGGAGGGGATTAGCTTCGTTATGCAGAGACTCAATGCTTGTGAATTAAAGCGTTACTTTCACTGCGAGTGAATTCTACGTGGAAAAAAAAAACTACCCACGCGTTTACTGTCAATGCTTCAGAATTGATCAGATTTAAATAATTTGCACTGCAGTCTTGTAATTTATTTTGCTCTGCTGTATACTGCATTTAAAGTGCTCTATTCCGTTATTCCATTGTATGCTTCTGTTATTTGTTTCTCAATTCATTCAGGAGTTCGAGACGCATTCTGAATTAATTTGTTTCTTGACGCATTTCTCAAAAAGAATTTGCTTGTTTTTGTTTTATGGTGTTGGAAAAAAAAAGAGAAACGATTGCTGATGTCTGTCTGGTTCCCTTTGCGTGTCCGCAGGTTGTTACACGAAGCCGGTTACGATGCGGTGTCAGGAACTCTGATGAATGAAGTTGCTGCAGACGAATCAACGAATGCTGCGAGGCTGTCGTATGCGGAGACTTTGATGAAACCAGATTCTGGAAAGTCGCTCGAGTCGCGGATCGAAGAGCTGCTTGATGCAGAGGCAATTTTGCTCCTTGCCGACCGATCGACGTCGAGAGCAAATAAATTGAAGCATGTGAAAGTGGAACTGCGACGCCTTCGCATTCTCGCCACGCGAGAACGGAATTCTCTGTAATTACCCCCGTTTTGGTATATTTTTGTATATAACAATATCAGGGTTTGTTCCATAGTTAGAAAAAACGGGTATACTGTATTTCAGTGAGGCCTTTTTTTGGCTACTGGAAACCCGCAAATGCATTTTTTTAAATTTGGCAGATACATTTTCAGTTCCATGGGGATTCGTCTCACTTTTAAAACTACGTTTTTACCATGTATTTTCAAAATGTACAGATGATTTTAATGTTACTGCGATGGAATATTCAGTTGAACCTTGATAACTTGAACCTCCCTTTTTCAATTTTTTTGAAAGCTCCTGTTCAAATTCCCTCAGAAACAATGCATTAAAAACGTCTATAAATCGAAGGCTTTCCCCCTCAAGCCTCCATAACTAAACTTTTCTGGAGGGGTTTTTAATATTATTTTATTGACGATGCAAGAGAAAAGCTTTAAAATGTAACTTGATGCGTTTTGAAAGAATTTGAAAGACTAATGGGCAAACGAACCTTTTTCTTTAAACTTCAGTGTCCTGTCAATTGATCCAAGTAGCAGTTTAAAGCCCAAAATTTCAGCAATTGATTTTCTCATTCCCTTAACAAAAATATTTTTTTTATCCGTGACTCGAATTTTTTTTTGCTGCTCTCTTGAAGATGACTCGAAGAGGTTCGACTATACAATATTTGAAATCATCTTCTTGTCGTTTATTACGAGATCATGAACCAACTCCCATTAATTCTTGACCTTGAAATCGTCGGATATCAACGAAATATTTGAGTTGTGGCTCCTCGCTTCTCTATGAAAATTTGATCAAAATAAGTCTCGGATCTGTTATGCTTGTGTAAATTTAACAGAAGTTTGCTTCTGACCGAACCCTTTGCAAATTAAGTACGAGATCATGAGAAGGAATTATTCCTACTCTAGATGATTTAGGTGCTAGAATATTTCTGGACGTTGTGACGAAATAATTTTTATTTTCTCGACAGATCCCCGAAAAAGTTGCCCAAAGATAGTGCCAAAGCAAAGAAAATTGATTCATCGTCCCCGGTCAATTCGGATGGAGAAGACTTGATTGATGAAACCGAATCAGCGGGCGAAACCCCGTCCGAGCAATTATCCAATGGGGTGAACAATTCAGCGTGTCGCTCGAGGAGTCGTAAGCAAAAGCAGACTGGCTTCGAAAATGACAATGTGGAGGAGAATGGTGGGAAATCCGGCCCGGATGCCGACTACGTTTCGAAACGATTGGCCTCAGCAGCCATCAACTTGTTCGCCAATGAAGTGAAGGATCCCGGGGAGAAATCGGTGAATGATGATGCGGCCGATTTCAAACCCAGGTTGCGCAAAACGGCGGGTCGAGCTGAGAAGAAATTATCTCCCAGGCAGCGGAAGTTGTGGGATTGGCTTAAACCTAAGCCGCCGATTGGTGAGTGCCGCGATTATTTGTTTGTGATGTCGGAAAATTGTTTCGGAATGCTGTCATTTATGGGGTTGAATTGATGAAGACAATTAGAAGGAAGGTAGAGAAAAGAAACCTTGGGAATTTTTATAGCGAATTTATCAGAAGTTTATTGTTTTCTATCATCTTCGTCAGACGTTTTCTCTGATGGGGAAGCATTCTAATGAGACTGTGGGGCAAAGTATCATATTATAATGTGATTTTTTTCTTATTTTTTTTTTTTAATGCGATGTCCCCTGTACTGTATTTCTCAAGCAAATCACATACGAGGGTTGTCCCACTTAGGCGCGAACTTGGTTATTTCACAAGTAGGTATGACTAGAACGAATTTCTGATATTGCCCATGATATTTTGAGGTCCTGGCATTTTTTTTTTTTTCATTTTTAAAATATTAAAAACATTTTTAAAGTTACTGTATGATGATCAGTAATCGAAATGTTTCCAGTTATGACGAGAGTTTTCCACCCATGTCATAGGGTGCGAAAAGAATTTCAAGACAGTTGAATATGGAATATTTTTTATTGTCTTAATTTTATTCAACCTTACTTTTCTAAATTTTAGATGATAGTTGAAACATAAGTACTGTATATCTATTTTCAGCTGGCCTGAAAATTTTTACTGCAGTTTTTCAAACATAATAAAAAAAATCTGAGAATGCCAGAAAAACAAGATCTAATTGATTATGGGCAAATCCGATGTGAAAATCGTTTGGAGTCATTAATTAGTGTAAAAAATTATTTTGTTCTGTTTAAGAAACTTACTCAAAGTCCCCAAAAGTTTGTGATTGCAAGGTTTTACTGATTGGACTTGGGCAAAATATCCAAATGAATTTTTGAAAAAGCATTCAAGCATTGCAAATCCGGGGTCAAGTGAGGAAAACCAAGACTCTAATTGGAAACATTCACGCAAATATCAGGGTTGGCATCTCGTATTCGTGTCAAATGCCGAAAAATCTAATTGGAAGAAAAATACCTGTACTTTTCTCCAAAATCACCTGAATGCCGATTGGGACGCTGAATGCAACAGCCCCAAAAGTTTGTTGTAACGAGATTTTACTGTGCATCAAGGGTATTGAAGTAAACCTGAGCTAGGTTTGAAAAGCATCAGTACTGTACAATGTTTCTCTACCAAAAAATCGTCGAAGCCACCTCGCACCACTTCGAGCGACATCCGTATGATTTTCAAGTATTCCTTGAAGAAGAAAAAAAACCACAGTACTGTACTACGAAAATTTTAGCCGAATGAAGCATTTTGAAACAGAAAACTTCTATCAGCCGTATGTCGTTTTTTTTTCAGCTCCTGTGAAAGAACTGGAATCCATCGCCAAAAAGGAGTTATTCGCGGAAGTGTTGAGCGAAATCGGTCCACGAATGAATCCCACGGTCGTCGTGGACAAGCTCTCACTCGACGTATCCGACCCGAACTTCTGCTCGTACCGCACGGAAAACTTCGGCGAAGGCGGCAGTGGCGGCTCTGACAACGAAGAATCTGCGTCCCCTGCGTCCACGTCTCTCAGTGGCTGGTCAGAAGCCGAAGAAGATGACGGCGAAGAAGAAGAAGACGGCGATGATGAAGAGTCCTTGCTGAGCGATGCAGTGGACGCCCATTCTGACCAAAACAGCGTCGAGGGTGACTTGAGCTCGCGAAGTTCGTCTCGGGAACGAAAGTGCTCCGACTTGGTGTGGGCCAAACAAGGACGTCAAAGTTGGTTCCCTGCCGAGATTACGGATAAAAGCCGTGAAGGGAACGGGCCGCCGAAGCCGCCGTCGTCGTCGGGAAATGCAGCAGCAGCAGCAGCGGAAATGAAGCTCGTGCGGCTTTTCGACAAGCGACGGACGTTGCGATGGTATTCGAGTGACAAACTCGTGCCGCTGGGCATCGATATCCAGGGCGACAAGGAGAAGATCACGCAGAATGGCGAGCGGAAGAATGGCGGACGAATCGGGCGGGATTTGGTGCAGAGTGCGTATGAAAGGGCTGTTTTGTACTATTCTTCAAATGCGCAGACTTCGTTGGAGGATTCGAATGGGATTTAACGACAGGGTCTCCTTTTTTTTTAGGTCAGCCCCTCTTGTGTATTCCATTATTTATTCATTTCGATGGGGTGGGGAGGGTGGCCGCATTCGTTCGCCGAAGTGAAAACAAAAAGAGAGAGAATTTTATTTTTAGGTAAAGTTGTTTTCATTACATTTTGTGTTGTTTGATTCTGCTTCAGATCATCGAGAAGTTCTTTTATCTTGCTCTGGGACTGGTACTCATTCAATTCGATTGCGTCCACGTATTTTCTTTCTATGTATGAAGATGAAAAAGTGAGTTGAGATTTTGATGGTACAGTCGAACTTCGATAAGCCGCCACCATTTGTTTGTAGCCGTTTTCTCGATGTTGATGGTTTATCAACAAAAAAAAAACTAAAATAACACGAAAATCAGATATAATGGGGCAATAATTTGTTCGCATTCGTTCGCCAAAGTGAAAACAAAAAGCGAGAGAATTTTTATTTTTAGGTAAAACAGTTTTAATACATTTTTCGTTGTTGTTGGACTCTGGTTTAGATCATTCCAAACCCGAAAGTTCTTCATTTCTTGCGCTGGTACTGGTACTCATTTAATTCGATTGCGTCCGAATGGAATTTATTTTTGTTTTGTTCAATGACTGAAGTTGACAAACTGCGTCAAGATTTTAATGGTACTATCAAACCTCGATAAGCTGCCACCATTTGTTTGTGGCGGTTTAACGGGGTTGACGGTTTATCTAAAACTAAAATGACATGGAAATATAATAGATAATACAATAATTGTGGCTCTTCGAGAAAACTTATCAAAATAAGTCTCGGATGCATAAATTATATCGAGCTAATGTTCATCTTTGCGGTTTTTTTTTCTTCTATTGGATACCTCGCACAGAAACTTTTTTAAATCTTGTTGGCGGGCTATTGAAGGCAAACAATTTTGGCCGGATCATTTTTGAGTTGTCAATAATTTGGCGGATGGCGTTTCAACAGTGATACCAATGCTATTACCACTAGGGGACATAAAAAAAAATTGGCGGTGGCCGAGGGTTGCGTCTTATTGAAGTTTTACTGTACTGTATTTGGACCATACTTCTCTTGGATTAAGTTTCTTCGCCATTGCTAAAGTGGTATGTTTTGATCGATGCGTTTAGGTTCTTTTCGGTTGGAGTATTGATTCAGGTGAAACCGATGTGACATTCCAGAAAGTGTAGGGTTTGTCGTTGGAGTGAAAAACAACCTTCTTTCAGGTCGCCGGTAATTATCAAATCATTTTTCTTATTAAAATGAAAAGTGGGTAAATTCGAATTGAATTCTGAATTTTAAAAGTCTATCTATCTAAAATTTACGGTGTTTTACTAGTGACCAAGAAAGTTTCCTGTGCAGTTGGAAGTCGGCCGATCTCACTTTTCGTTGATGCGGAAAATTTGTTTTTTTTTCACTGCCGTTAGATATCGAAACGAATTCTAAATGTGCTCATTGCTGGATGTTTGAGACATTTTTTGAAAGAGAAGACCCCGTGAATGAAGTTCAAACGAAAAAGGTTTTTTTTTTAGTACATGGTGACGAGGAGCGATTCACTGCCGGGAAATAGCTATTTTTTATTTATGCACGAAGCGGGGAAGAACATTCGCAGTCGCATGCATGTAACTCTGAATCATGCTCGTGGGAATTTTGTTCTTTTGCAAAGCGATCGAACTATTTGTTGAGAGGTGGAATTTTCAATCAATCATCGTGGCCAGGCGGGCCTGATGTTTTCAAGCGCGAAGATGATCTCCATTGTGTGTGTTTTTTTATATGTGCTGCGCGTTTCGCCTCTTGTTGATTCGGCATTCCGACTGGGCTTCGCGAGTTTCGATGTTTTTCTTCGTACTTGTTCCAAACCCAGGAATAAAAATGCCTGCTAAAAATGTGTGTATCTGTCTGTTATCAATGAGTTAAACTCTTGGTTGACGTTTGACCAATTAACGCCGCTGTGATCCATGCAATGAATTCAGTAAAATCTGGTTACAACAAATGTGGTGTAACAAACTTTTTATCAAGTCCTGGCAGAAATTTAGTCAAGTCCATGTTGAAACAGTCTTGTTATAACAAACTTCCAGCCCAGTGTAAAAAATTCTTTTGAGGAATAATCAGTAATAGATTCTCCAGGTAGAAATTTCCTGACAAGGCAGACAAAGTCTGAATTTCTGATCCCAAATGTGACAGATTGGTTTGTGTAGCAGGGATGGAAGCTGTAATCAATGACAAACATGCTTCCAAGGGATTCCACACAACAGCCTCCCAGAATGAAGAGATGGGTACATTGTATGGGATGCATGATTGCAGCTAACTTTTTTCAAATCCCCCAAGTTTTTCAAACAATAGAAATCTGAGAATACCAGACAAGCAAAGGTCTAATTGATTATAGGCAGGTCTTGTGTGAATATGTTTTCCATCAGTCATCAATTATGAAAATCTCGTGATGAATAATCCAGTATAACAAACTTTTTTCTGAAGTCATCAAAAGAGTTGGAAGGAACAACAAGCTTTGTTCAAAACTCTGCAAACCCTATGCTCAGGTCAATTTTGCAGGCCCCATTGTAATGCAGTGGAACCTTCTGAAATTGCAGTGGAACAGAATGGACTTCTTGCAGATACTGTATATGCTTCTGCTGTGGAATGGATAGTAACGCAGTGCCAAATAACTCAGACATGGCCATGTGTCACATGAATACAATTTTGTATCCGAAGGACAAATTCCATAGGTGAAGATGGACTACTTTTCAAGGCTCCAACTTTTCCCCCTGTTCAATGAAAAAGTTTCATACTTGATTTAATCCTATATGCTTTGAATATCACAGGCAAATAGCATTATATACAGTACTGTATTACCCAGCAAAAAATTTCGGAGTTGCGTGGCTACTTGCCAGCGTGCTGCCGGCGCGCCAGCGTTATGCGTCGGCCCCGACTCCCAATGTGTCGTTTTCCATCTCCCTTGGGTGTCGGGCCACCCGTCTATTGCAGCGTCCACCCGACGCCCGCGCACCCCGCGCCAACATCATCCCCTCCCCATACCCGTCGTTTAGGTGTTGCTTTCGACTAGCAGAGTACCTAACCACGGAAGGCGTTGTAGCGTCTACCCGTCAGCTAGCCGGTTGAAATTAATTTTGACCTTATATTGGGGTATCGGTGTATTATGCCGCGCTGTACATTAATGTCGGCTTATTGTTACTAATTTAATTTAATGTTATTCTGTTGAAGCCGATGAAAGCCGATTGTTATCGGTCTTTGTTGTTTTTGAATGTCGGTCGGTTTGCTGGAATTTTTACCGACATGCGTCGGTATGCATTTACGAGACGCCGATGATGTGTAAATGTAATTTTTGTTATGCCGATTCGTATCGGGTATCTGCGTCTGGTGCGGTGAAATGTCGGTTACCTTAACTGACGTACGTCGGTATGCTTTTAGCAGACGGTATGCTTTTACATTTTGAATGTCGGTGTACCGTGAATTTTTACCGACATGCGTCGGTATGCATTTACGAGACGCCGATGATGTGTAAATGTAATTTTTGTTATGCCGATTCGTATCGGGTATCTGCGTCTGGTGCGGTGAAATGTCGGTTACCTTAACTGATGTACGTCGGTATTCTTTTAGCAGACGGTATGCTTTTAGATTTTGAATGTCGGTGTACCGTGAATTTTTACCGACATGCGTCGGTATGCATTTACGAGACGCCGATGATGTATAAATGTAATTTTTGTTATGCCGATTCGTATCGGGTATGTGCGTCTGGTGCGGTGAAATGTCGGTTACCTTAACTACGTTGGTATGCTTTTAGCAGACGGTATGCTTTTAGATTTTGAATGTCGGTGTACCGTGAATTTTTACCGACATGCGTCGGTATGCATTTACGAGACGCCGATGATGTATAAATGTAATTTTTGTTATTTCGATTCGTATTGGGTATGTGCGTCTGGTGCGGTGAAATGTCGTTTACCTTAACTGACGTACGTCGGTATTCTTCTAGCAGACGGTATGCCTTTACATTTTGAATGTCGGTGTACCGTGAATTTTTACCGACATGCGTCGGTATGCATTTACGAGACGCCGATGATGTATAAATGTAATTTTTGTTATGCCGATTCGTATCGGGTATGTGCGTCTGGTGTGGTGAAATGTCGGTTACCTTAACTACGTTGGTATGCTTTTAGCAGACGGTATGCTTTTAGTTTTTGAATGTCGGTGTACCGTTAATTTTCACCGACATGCGTCGGTATGCATTTACCAGACCTCGATGATGGTATTTAGTAGTTGACAGTAATCACGCTGTCGTTTTTTATTTTCTTTTTAATTAAATTAAAAGGAAGTCAATTCACAGTATTGCTAAGTTTTTTGTTTTCCACCCGTATCAATTTCGCGTTGAAAGAAAAAAGTACATAAATGAATACTTCAAAAGTACATAAATAAAAACTTCAAATAGCTTCGTACACTTAGCTGCAATGCCTATCCTTATCGTCTCCTATTTTGGCATATACTTCTTCAAGGTCACTCTCTAATTCGCTTTGCTCCTTACTGTTACCAATGAACACGTTCTTCAATTCTTTCAAACTTTTTGCACTTTCATAATTAGCTGCGAAATTATTAGTCAGTTGTGTCGAATCTTCGCCATCAATACTTCTTTCCTTCAACCCAAGTGCTTCTTTCCGAGTTTTCCTTTCAGCATTGCGTAGTTCGCGTAAAACCTTGTTAATGAATGTCCTGCAATAAAAACGTAAAAGTAATATCATAATGAATTAAAGTATCCATTTTTGATTTTCCATTTCCGGAAATTACCTCAATTTCGGCATGTCGTCATCATTCAAGTGAAGAGCAGCAAAGTTTTCAATAAGTGCGTAAAATCCTGGCAGCTTATTTAATGGCTATAGTAAAGTAGAATAGAAAAAAGAGGTTAATGATCAAATTTTCCAAATTTGTGAGCATTTCTTACAATTCTCAGTTCAGGTTGGTTAAGGCGATGCTGTAAGTTCAGGGGGTACATGTCATGATCCAGTATGAGTGGATTGTCCTGTTCATGAGTAAATGGCTGTGAATCTCTCTCTTGGACTGTTTTGATGATGTCCTTTTGCCTTTCTATGTATGTATATAATCAAAAATATTATGGAAATATAATCAGTAAATGATGAATAATGAAATCACCTCTGCCTTTGCAGTGCTGTGTCTTCGAATTGACACAGTAAATCTGTGCCATCATCCGGTGTTGGAAGAAGCGCCGCATGAAGCAACTGATTGCCTTTTTCCCATTAGGTGGCTTCCAGTGTTGTTCAATCCAAAGAATCTGTAGGAAACGAAGTAAAATGATTATAAATGTATGAAGTACTTTAATTTATTATTTGTAGGTAGAATATGTTAAAGTGTTGGCATGCCGATGTAGTATTTATGTTTACCGCCTGACATCGGCGTTTTTCACAAATCACCGTCCAACATCGGCATACAGATGAAATTAACTTCCAACATATTTATTCTGACTAATAGAAATACTAGGAAAGAATTACTAACTAAGTCCTTCCGAATTGTTTTGTCCAACAGTAGTGCATCTACTTCCACCAACTCGCTCCTCTTCTTGACAGGAATCACCAACCTTGAATCGAATTCGTATCCCTCTGTAAATAATTTAATGAAATTAATAATAATCAGATCATTGCACAAATGATGTAGGACTTACTGTTTGAATCAGTTAGAGTTGAAGGACCTCCTTGTAGTAAAGTTTCAAGAGGTATTCCAAGTTCCTCAAGAAAATTTTCGACTCTTTCAAGCTTATCCAAAATTTCCTTGTTTACCTTTTCTTGCTTTGCTGCACTTCGCTGTATCTCTAGTACTGCTGCGCGTTGTTCAGCTGCTTGACTTCTCATTTCCTCTATCATTTGTTGGTTCATTGAGCGAAATGCACTCAACAATCTTTCCTCAATGCCTGTAATAAATTCCAAAATTCCATATACTGTCAATTTAGCAGTGTTTTTAGAACATGTTTTGAAAAATTCAATCAAACCTTCAATATTTGATGACTGATGAGCATTATCAATTATTCCAATGGAGTTTGTGGCTTCCAATGAAGCCAACAACCTCACAGCTGCTTCATTAGCTGGGGACTCGTATGATTCATTCATAGAGTACTGCTGGTCACCACTACCGCTTTCCGGTGCATTTGCTGCAATTGCTACAAGTATGAATAATATTAACGAAATTAAATTACATTTTGACCATTGTGTTACCACCAGACACACTCACAATGATTACTGACACTCGGGATGATGTATGTTGATGATTCGTTTTGAATTGTGTTGTACTCCCGGCCTAGAACATGACCGTCACGCCCAAATTTGGCTTGAAAGGAAGGTGTGTGACATATCAACGGCCTGTTGTTTGCATCAGCTGGTTCAGGTGATTTGAAATTGTGTTGGTCAATTCTTCCCTCCACTCGCATTGTTTCATTTAATGCTTCCTCATTTCCTGCAACGTCAACAGGTGGTATGTTTTAAAATGCTTTCAAAGAATTACATTTTGACTTACCTTTAGCCATAATGCTGGGACCTGTAAGTCCAGCTGCACTTGTTGTATGGGGGAAATTTTGGTTCCCAAGATTGTCCCCTGTAATGGGGGGATGTTGTTGTTGCAAATTGTTATTCTGAGTAAGCATTAAAGTTACAGGATGAATTGCAGGTCCATCGGTTAGGGGAAGATGTTGTGGCTGTATCCCTTGATATGGTGTGTTGAACCACTGAGGTACAGATTCTTGCAATCGGACATCACTGCAAACTTGAAATTTGTGCCGCAGATCTGCAAGAAGTTCATTTCATTAAATTCTACTTTCTATCAATTTTCATTCAAAGTATTTTTAAAGTATTCGTATAAAGTATTCGTTAAAATTCAAATTTGGATTCTACTAGTTTTAAACGTGAAGTGTGCTTTTGACCGATGTACTATGCCGATGGGTGTCGGCATTAAAAGTGCGATTATCCCGATGTATAAACATGCTGTGTAATGATACGCCGATGAATGTCGGCATTGTTTTCCCCAATGTTTGCACATAATTTTTTTATTTTTATGTTTTAATGTATTCCACATGAGTGCATATTATACTAATCATTACTCATTAATCCATGAAAATGCGTTAAAATGTATGATCTCCACGTAAACTCCCCTAAGTATGTTGTATTCATAATGACTTACCAGGATAATAAGGACTGCTACTTTTACGTCGTACTCCAACTTGAACAGCAGGATTCCAAGGTTCGTCTTGTGATTCGGAAAAATCACTGTCACCACTTGTTTCTTGTCCTGATGAGATCTTACACTCAGCAACTCTTCTTGGTTGCTGAATATGACGTTTTGGTCTGCCACCAAGACCAGGGGCTATACCTGGCGAAAGTATGCCCTGACTGTATTGCGTGTGTGAATTCTTCACCAATGGGTCCGGGTGGAACGCTGGAATACACATATGCATGTTCAAATGTCTGAGGATTATCATCATTTCATGATTTTGCTGAATATGACGTTTTGGTCTGCCACCAAGACCAGGAGCTATACCTGGCGAAAGTATGCCCTGACTGTATTGCGTGTGGGAATTCTTCACCAATGGGTCCGGGTGGAACGCTGGAATACACATATGCATGTTCAAATGTCTGAGGATTATCATCATTTCATCATCATTTCATGTTTCATAACCACATCATTGTATAGTCATGGACAATTTCAATGTAATTATTCATGTCAACATCGTCAATGTCATTTGAACATAAAAAGTTAATATGGGAAAGAATGAAGATAAATATAAAGTACTAACCTACCCAGGAAAACCAAACAGCATCAAGAATTGCGTCAATGACGCATCTAAAAAGTTTATATTTACCCACGTCGATTTTCATGGCTGGTGTACCAGCATATTGACGCTGAATTCGATGCACGCATATGGGCGTTGACTTGACGTTAGTAAACTTGCGTCAAATTCTGACGCGTCGCTGACGCGTCATTTTCAAATGAAAAGTGGAATACATACACATCAAATGATGAAGGTTGTGATCATGCACATCGGCGTACAAGTTCGTCTCCATTCAATATTCATCCAATAGTATCAATGGTTAGTTATTTTTCCATTTGTTAGTTAGTTATTCTTTTTATACGAAGTCAGAATAACAGGAGACTGTAATAGGAGACTTTGGACAAAGATGTAAATTAGTTAGGAATCTACGGTATGTAAGCATGAAATGTAACGTATCGCTGTTATTTAATGTTCCATAATCGTCTTGTCGGCGTATAATGTAACCTGTCGGTTTTATGTAGTGTTCAATAATCTTCGTGTCGGCGTAAAATTTAACGTATCGGTGTTATTTAATTTCCTAGAATAGGCATGTCGGCGTAAAATGTTACGTATCGGTGTAAATTAAATCTTGAACTACAAATGTGGGTTACGTCGGTGTGTCTTATGAGTTAAATAGAGGTGTTTCGGCTGCACTGCTTTCAATATTTCAACGTTTTTACTTACTTCAAGAAATGCCTACTTTGGATACACACTGTACAAATGCTTTCATTCCACAGGTTTACGGTTTCCCATTGGAGGCTATGCACATTGTTGGTGGAGGAGCAGCCAGAATTGGATTTGAATTCCTATTTCAATTCCACAGAAAAGCTTTTACATTTTCCCTTTTTAATAGACTGCTAATGTACTTCCAACACTTGTTCATGTACAACCGCACCAGACCTTTTTGACATTTTCTTTACTTATCCACACATTCTTGTAAACTACGTTATCTTCTTACCTTTTTGAGGGAGACCCACGAATGTTTGATTTATCATTCAATTGCAATGCTAGCGGTTAAAGAAATCCGACTTGGTTTGAAACTTAAATTAATTGATGGACTTATGTCATTTGTGGTAGCAATGCACTTAATTGGACACACCCGTCATGAATGTCCTTCAATTAAAGACATTCAGATGGCAGACTTTCTCCTTAGAAAGTACGTATTCATTTTTAAACAAATGTCTCCGTACTTTTTGACTCCCAAAAGCCACATGCTAATTCATTTAGCTAATGAAGCGAAAGCCTACCAATCGCATTTAGGAGGATTTGATGCGTACCCTTTTGAAAATTTTTTGCGAATATTTCGCGATAAAACACTTGTTAAAAGTGGGAAAAGTGTATTGAAACAAATCTTCAGTCGTCTGAGTGAGTTAGCTTGCCATGGAATTCCGAAAAATGCTTCTACATCAAAGTTTGAACCTTACCAAACTAAAGTTGATGAGGAATTGAAAATTTTGCGTGAAATTGGCACACTGAGCCTGCCAAATAATACTGTGGTATGTGCACGCTTTGCAACTCAAGTTAAAAGTCTGGAGTGTACTGGTTACAAAATAACCCTAAGGTAAGCAGAACCTTCATACAGAAGTACTATATGATAAAATGAGTGTTAATGCGTACGTTTGAAATTATATAACACAGGTACCCCGACAATATTTTGGCGCTAGCTGTGAAGGGTAACCGCGATACATTGAAGCACTTCATACCTGTAGTCATAAGTGACTTCCGGCAAGAGGATGGAAATATAATAATGAGAGGAAGAAGATTCAGGAATGTGGAAGCAGCTCAAAAAGAATGGTGGAGAGAAGATCTTGGATATCCTCCTTTGGATTTTATTGGATGTTATACTGTGCATTCACTGAATATTAGTGCAGAAGATTTTTTATTTTCAAGTGTGGTTGGGAAATTCTTTCCTTTCCATTTAAACTTGAACGTTTCTTCAAACCCTCTTCACATAGAATCGCACTTGCAAAAATGGGTTATAGTTCGTTTGAAGCATACCTGTCCACCAGAAACAATGCATTGATGATTAGTTTTATCATGGGTAAATGAAGGAAGTAGAAGATTGTGTCATAAATTTATGAAATGTACATTATTGTGAAAAATTCGTTACATGTTATGCAATATCGGAAACAAAAAGTTAAATAGCGCTGTGCTTGCTTAAACTTATGTACTTGGAGTGGCAGTATATACTTTCAGAATGAAATTAAGCTGTGACAACATGTAGACATGTGAAAAAATATATACGAGAGATATATACATTTTCTCTGCTGTGTTTTGAACTATATACTTTTAGAATGAAAGATGTGACAAGATGTGACAACATGTATACATCTTAAAAAATATATACGAGAGATATATACTTTTTCTGTGTGTTTTAAACTCTTTCAAAAGTTAGAATTATTAATAATAATGATGAATATGATATTGCAAATCTGTTTACAGGGTGTGTTTTTTTGGTGTCACTTTTTTATTTACATCGTTGAAATATGAATGAACACGTACAAATGAAGTCACGTCCAGATCATCCAAGGGATGACGAAGGCATTCTCCTACCCTGGTTATCAACAATGAAAGACGAAGCGAGGAGGGGACAACTGGAGAAGGCCATTGCAGAAATGGATTGGAAAAAGCGAAGTAACTTGGCGTACATACAAGTTGAGGAAAATGACACATTCGGGCATGTTTACGTTCCAAGGACCAAGAACTGCATTACAAATCTTAAAAATGCAAAAGTGAGTACCTAGTGAGAATGTATGAATAATTTGAATAATGTGTTGAGTAATTCCGGAATGATTATGCATTGCAGAATTATCCAAAGAATGGTTGGAAGAAAGAATGGGACCCTCACAAGTCAGAGTACACCGGTTTCACCATGACAGAAACTGGTGTTTGTTACCGTGAAATTGGAGAAGACGAAATAATCCCTGCCTTCATAAGAATAACAATTCTTGACGGTGGTCGTGCATTTGATGGTGATGATCCCATTGATGAAGAAGAATTGATCAACAAGTGGAATGCGAATCCAAAGTTTCGGAACAACACATTTGGCACTATTTGTAAGATTTTAACTCTTACCAATTACAACGGCCTAAAATGAAGGGTAACATTAATGATTTTAGGTTGTGTACCAATCAATTGGGTCAGCTCCAATGGGAAATACGTATTGTGGCCTAAGGAAGATGCTACAACTGAAGACGGCGTAAGACTTGAAACCTTGAAGATGGATTCAGAGATCAAGGAGAGTAGAAAGACGTAAGGACTAGGGAGAGTCTACACCCTTATGGTTTAACCCTTGTAAACCACGCTCCCATCTTATCCAATCATGAAATATAAATAGAAGTAAGAAAGGGTATAATTGAAGTTATGTTCAAATGATATTTACGATGTTGACATAAATAATTACAATGAAATTGTACATGACTATACAATGATGTATACAATGATGTGGTTATGAAACATGAAATTATCATGAAATGATGATAATCCTCAGACATTTGAACATGCATATGTGTATTCCAGCGTTCCACCCGGACCCATTGGTGAAGAATTCACACACGCAATACAGTCAGGGCATACTTTCGCCAGGTATAGCCCCTGGTCTTGGTGGCAGACCAAAACGTCATATTCAGCAACCAAGAAGAGTTGCTGAGTGTAAGATCTCATCAGGACAAGAAACAAGTGGTGACAGTGATTTTTCCGAATCACAAGACGAACCTTGGAATCCTGCTGTACAAGTTGGAGTATGACGTAGAACTAGCAGTCCTTATTATCCTGGTAAGTCATAATGAATACAACCTACTTAGGGGAGTTTACGTGGAGATAATACATTTTAATGCATTTTAATGAATTAATGAGTAATGATTAGTAAAATATGCATTCATGTGGAATACATCAAAACATAAAAATACGAACGTGTGCAAACATTGGGGAAAACAATGCCAACATTCATCGGCGTATCATTACACAGCATGTTTATACATCGGGATAATCGTACTTTTAATGCCGACACCCATCGGCATAGCATGTTTGTACATTACCAATGTTTGTACATCGGTCAAAAGCATAACGATCACACTTTACGTTTAAAACTAGTAGAATCCAAATTTGAATTTTAACAAATACTTTAACAAATAGTTTGAATGAAAATTGATAGAAAGTAGAATTTAATGAAATGAACTTCTCGCAGATCTGCGGCACAAATTTCAAGTTTGCAGTGATGTCCGATTGCAAGAATCTGTACCTCAGTGGTTCAACACACCATATCAAGGGATACAGCCACAACATCTTCCCCTAACAGATGGACCTGCAATTCATCCTGTAAGTTTAATGCTTACTCAGAATAAAAATTTGCAACAAAAACATCCCCCCATACCGTCAACTACGCACACTGCTAATTATACACCAGACAATGTGACAGGGGACAATGTTGGGAACCAAAATTTCCCGCATACAACAAGTACAGCTGGAGTTACAGGTCCCAGCATTATGGCTAAAGGTAAGTCAAAATGTAATTATTTGAAAGCATTTTAAAACATACCACCTGTTGAAGTTGCAGGAAACGAGGAAGCATTAAACGAAACAATGCAAGTGCAGGGAAGAATTGTACAACACAATTTCAAATCACCTGAACCAGCTGATGCAAACAACAGGCCGTTGATATGTCACACACCTTCCTTTCCAGCCAAATTTGGGCGTGACGGTCATGTTCTAGGCCGGGAGTACAACACAATTCTCACAACATCTTCCCCTAACCGATGGACCTGCAATTCATCCTGTAACTTCAATGCTTACTCAGAATAACAATTTGCAACAAC